AGCACACGAAAAGCGATAAAAGCTCGCATATTTTTAAGCATTTCAACACATCTCCTTCTTGTAAGAACAAATACTCCCTTTCTTCAGTGCTTTAGTATTCTGGATTAAATAAGATCAAACCTGAACTTAACAAACAATTATAGCATTATAACACTTTTCTAGCGTTTTAGTTCACACCTTTGATGTTTGGTGTCACGTTGTAATTAGTACCCGCTTTTGTATTATGTCATACTATAAATATTTTACTCATCTACTTGTCTTTTATATAATTACTCACGTTCTGTTACTCATTGATTGAAGATGGCATAAGCTTGCCGAAACATGTCTCTCAAAAAAGTTGTCTATTTCTTACAATATTTATCATACTTGCTACTACTACCACCTTATGGAAATAAATCATTTATCCCTAAACGTCAAACAAAATAATGGCCATTAAAAAGACCTTTTTCTCTTTCCAGGCTGATGAGTTTTGCACCTTCCACGGTCTGACAGTGACAGAGGGTTTCGTGAACTTTGCTCGATCTTCATTCATTGAACCGGAGTCCAGGCTCCCAGCAAAGAGAGCCTGGAAACTAATCGAATCCAAACGAAGCTGCTCCATCGGTGAGGTAGGTATATGTTGGGACTGGGACTAAGGGTGTCTTCAGTCATCATTGTTTGTACTGACTGCGATCCCGGACATGGGGTTTTATGGTCCATAATTTTTGCGCTCGTACGATTGGCCTAAACTTGTCGCGTGACCGTGGTGAGCTGTTTGTTAAAAAAAAAAATTGTTCCACAAACAATTTTGCCCGTGCATTGCTTTCGGATAGCTGCGAGCTTTTCGGAACACATAATGTCGGGAGACAAATATCCCTGCATATTTTCTCGCTTATTGGAGGTTACTGTTTATATGTTATAACTTAGATGTTGATTTTCATTTTTTCCATGCTGGTTTCTCTGAGTTCTCAGTTGTTCTTCCTCCATCCCAATTGAAAAGAGAACTATCAATAAGTTTTTTCTCAAATTAAGCTTTTGCATTGGGAAGTTAGTGGTTGTCTCTGATAGTGCTTGTCTCTTTTCGCAGCCTCCGCTCATTTCATTCAAACGCGACTAAAACATATGCAATTTTTTGGTCAGAAGTTCTTTTCAGACTAATGACCGACCAGGCACTTTTAAATGCGCTCGTGCACGATGCAAAACGTGTCCTTTCATTCACAACACTGATAAAATATCGGGACCTAAACGATCCATTAAGATCACCGATCACTTCACGTGCACCTCCGCCAATGTAATCTATTGCNTTCGAACCACTGACCTCTGCGATACTAGTGCAGCGCTCTACCAATTGAGCTAACAAGCCAACTGGGAGCAGGCCATCAAATTAATTCGACATAAACCCGTAGATGATAAATCAAACAACAACAAACATATGAAACATATGTATGAACTGCGGTTATGAAACGTATATATGCACGATCCTTCGCAGTAAAGCACTATTTGAGCAATAGTGAAAATCAGACCTGAAAAAAATTTCAGGCCTGTACGGGATTCGAACCACTGACCTCTGCGATACTAGTGCAGCGCTCTACCAATTGAGCTAACAAGCCAACTGGGAGCAGGCCATCAAATTAATTCGACATAAACCCGTAGATGATAAATCAAACAACAACAAACATATGAAACATATGTATGAACTGCGGTTATGAAACGTATATATGCACGATCCTTCGCAGTAAAGCACTATTTGAGCAATAGTGAAAATCAGACCTGAAAAAAATTTCAGGCCTGTACGGGATTCGAACCACTGACCTCTGCGATACTAGTGCAGCGCTCTACCAATTGAGCTAACAAGCCAACTGGGAGCAGGCCATCAAATTAATTCGACATAAACCCGTAGATGATAAATCAAACAACAACAAACATATGAAACATATGTATGAACTGCGGTTATGAAACGTATATATGCACGATCCTTCGCAGTAAAGCACTATTTGAGCAATAGTGAAAATCAGACCTGAAAAAAATTTCAGGCCTGTACGGGATTCGAACCACTGACCTCTGCGATACTAGTGCAGCGCTCTACCAATTGAGCTAACAAGCCAACTGGGAGCAGGCCATCAAATTAATTCGACATAAACCCGTAGATGATAAATCAAACAACAACAAACATATGAAACATATGTATGAACTGCGGTTATGAAACGTATATATGCACGATCCTTCGCAGTAAAGCACTATTTGAGCAATAGTGAAAATCAGACCTGAAAAAAATTTCAGGCCTGTACGGGATTCGAACCACTGACCTCTGCGATACTAGTGCAGCGCTCTACCAATTGAGCTAACAAGCCAACTGGGAGCAGGCCATCAAATTAATTCGACATAAACCCGTAGATGATAAATCAAACAACAACAAACATATGAAACATATGTATGAACTGCGGTTATGAAACGTATATATGCACGATCCTTCGCAGTAAAGCACTATTTGAGCAATAGTGAAAATCAGACCTGAAAAAAATTTCAGGCCTGTACGGGATTCGAACCACTGACCTCTGCGATACTAGTGCAGCGCTCTACCAATTGAGCTAACAAGCCAACTGGGAGCAGGCCATCAAATTAATTCGACATAAACCCGTAGATGATAAATCAAACAACAACAAACATATGAAACATATGTATGAACTGCGGTTATGAAACGTATATATGCACGATCCTTCGCAGTAAAGCACTATTTGAGCAATAGTGAAAATCAGACCTGAAAAAAATTTCAGGCCTGTACGGGATTCGAACCACTGACCTCTGCGATACTAGTGCAGCGCTCTACCAATTGAGCTAACAAGCCAACTGGGAGCAGGCCATCAAATTAATTCGACATAAACCCGTAGATGATAAATCAAACAACAACAAACATATGAAACATATGTATGAACTGCGGTTATGAAACGTATATATGCACGATCCTTCGCAGTAAAGCACTATTTGAGCAATAGTGAAAATCAGACCTGAAAAAAATTTCAGGCCTGTACGGGATTCGAACCACTGACCTCTGCGATACTAGTGCAGCGCTCTACCAATTGAGCTAACAAGCCAACTGGGAGCAGGCCATCAAATTAATTCGACATAAACCCGTAGATGATAAATCAAACAACAACAAACATATGAAACATATGTATGAACTGCGGTTATGAAACGTATATATGCACGATCCTTCGCAGTAAAGCACTATTTGAGCAATAGTGAAAATCAGACCTGAAAAAAATTTCAGGCCTGTACGGGATTCGAACCACTGACCTCTGCGATACTAGTGCAGCGCTCTACCAATTGAGCTAACAAGCCAACTGGGAGCAGGCCATCAAATTAATTCGACATAAACCCGTAGATGATAAATCAAACAACAACAAACATATGAAACATATGTATGAACTGCGGTTATGAAACGTATATATGCACGATCCTTCGCAGTAAAGCACTATTTGAGCAATAGTGAAAATCAGACCTGAAAAAAATTTCAGGCCTGTACGGGATTCGAACCACTGACCTCTGCGATACTAGTGCAGCGCTCTACCAATTGAGCTAACAAGCCAACTGGGAGCAGGCCATCAAATTAATTCGACATAAACCCGTAGATGATAAATCAAACAACAACAAACATATGAAACATATGTATGAACTGCGGTTATGAAACGTATATATGCACGATCCTTCGCAGTAAAGCACTATTTGAGCAATAGTGAAAATCAGACCTGAAAAAAATTTCAGGCCTGTACGGGATTCGAACCACTGACCTCTGCGATACTAGTGCAGCGCTCTACCAATTGAGCTAACAAGCCAACTGGGAGCAGGCCATCAAATTAATTCGACATAAACCCGTAGATGATAAATCAAACAACAACAAACATATGAAACATATGTATGAACTGCGGTTATGAAACGTATATATGCACGATCCTTCGCAGTAAAGCACTATTTGAGCAATAGTGAAAATCAGACCTGAAAAAAATTTCAGGCCTGTACGGGATTCGAACCACTGACCTCTGCGATACTAGTGCAGCGCTCTACCAATTGAGCTAACAAGCTCAATTGGTTGAGCTAACAAGCTCAATTAATTGTCGAATTAATTTGATGGCCTGCTCCCAGTTGGCTTGTTAGCTCAATTAGTAGAGCGCTGCACTAGTATCGCAGAGGTCAGTGGTTCGAATCCCGTACAGGCCTGAAATTTTTTTCAGGTCTGATTTTCACTATTGCTCAAATAGTGCTTTACTGCGAAGGATCGTGCATATATACGTTTCATAACCGCAGTTCATACATATGTTTCATATGTTTGTTGTTGTTTGATTTATCATCTACGGGTTTATGTCGAATTAATTTGATGGCCTGCTCCCAGTTGGCTTGTTAGCTCAATTGGTAGAGCGCTGCACTAGTATCGCAGAGGTCAGTGGTTCGAATCCCGTACAGGCCTGAAATTTTTTTCAGGTCTGATTTTCACTATTGCTCAAATAGTGCTTTACTGCGAAGGATCGTGCATATATACGTTTCATAACCGCAGTTCATACATATGTTTCATATGTTTGTTGTTGTTTGATTTATCATCTACGGGTTTATGTCGAATTAATTTGATGGCCTGCTCCCAGTTGGCTTGTTAGCTCAATTGGTAGAGCGCTGCACTAGTATCGCAGAGGTCAGTGGTTCGAATCCCGTACAGGCCTGAAATTTTTTTCAGGTCTGATTTTCACTATTGCTCAAATAGTGCTTTACTGCGAAGGATCGTGCATATATACGTTTCATAACCGCAGTTCATACATATGTTTGATATCTGAATATGTTTAGACATTATAATTTTCTCGGATATTTTTTGTTTCATCGAAAAATGCGCGCATGGCGTCTCGCGCGCATGGCGTCCCGCGCGCATGGCGTCTCGCGCGCATGGCGTCCCGCGCGCATGGCGTCCCGCGCGCATGGCGTCCCGCGCGCATGGCGTCCCGCGCGCACTTACTTATCGTTTATTCTTTCGTTTGTAGCCCACACAGATTGAACCCGCTAAAGGTGCAGTGTCTTACTCTGGAGAGGTGAGTTGATGGAGAATGCGAACAGATTTTATCTGCTGATAATGGCGACACGATCGTTGAAAAATAAACCTTTTTGACAATGCTGAACTTCAGCATAATGCAAGGCACTTTTAAAAAAGTTGTGAACATAACTTATGAGCTGTAAGTTACATGTAGAGTTCCAATTGATTTCGAATTGTAGTGAGAGATTCAGATCAAAGAGAGGTGTTCTTGATTTAGTCGAGTATGTGACGTAGACAAATTTTGTCCTCGTTCGTGACGAAAGAAAAATTTCCGATTGATTGTTGACCAGACAGGCGGCGGTGAGAGGTCCCACAAGCGATGGTAGACCGCCTGTCACCGGCCTTTAACCCTCTCACTCCTAAGAATGACCAAAACAGAATTTCTCTTTACAATGTTAGTACAATATCAAGCAAACAAGGAATGAGAATAAAGAAAAATGTCGATCAGGGGATTATAAGTTGATTCGATACTAAATTCTCCGCACTGACATCATAAGAATTTTATGGCAGACAGTTGGTAGAATTGCTAGTGAGATCTTTGGAATGAAACACTGTTGTAGCGGTCGTGACGATTATAGTCATGCACGGAATCCAGCTTTAAAAGAGCGTTAGTTGTCTAGACCTCACCTGTTGGTAGATTGAGTGCATCTTCAAAAGTTGATCGTTTATTGCAGGAAATATTGAATTTCACCAAGAGACTGTTTGTGGAAGTGATGAATGAAATGTGTACAGAAATTACAAAGGAAGCCATGGACAAGGTGATCTTTTTGTCTTCTCTTTGAAAACCTTGTAGAAGAGGATGGCTGATCGAGCTAAGTTTTAGTTCCGTATATTCTTACATAACTAGTCATCTTTACTAAGCTTGGCTTTACTCATGTGGCTGAATTTAGCCTATAAACTACTACTGGTGGTAGCTGTCTACTATTACGCCCGTGTTATCCAAATATCCGCAGCACTTCGACCATCAGGTTTAGGGTGGCTGGTACCAGTTTTCATTTTTTTGATGGTTTGTAACTTTGAAAGAACACAACAAAAAGACTGGCCAAGGCCAGTTGAACACTTTTACTGGGTTGAATTATATAATCATTGGCTATCCAAAAATAGGTGTCATTTCGTCACCAGCAGTTTCCATGGCAACGCTTTTCAAAGGATTATTCAGACGCATTTTTTAGCTTATGGCTCAAACAGTTTGAAAACTAACTCAGTGACCCCGTGATTTTTCTTAGTGATTGCTTTCGGAACTTGAAACTGAAAATGCACAAAGATTTTAAAAAAATTATACGGAGCGGAATTTCAGAAAATCTAGAAAAAGGCAATTTTCCCTCATCGCGATGTCCTTCCTTAGAATTTTCTAGTTTTTTTTTCTGACGATTCCTCAGTTTCAACGTTATCATATTGGAACAATAAATAGAAGGGGTCACCAGACTTGTTTTCATGCAATAGCTTTCGTGAGTTCAGCAATTCCCACGCGCGTTCTCGCGCATTTAAAAATCTGGATTCTATAAGATCGACATTTGCTCATGATCTGTTATAGCTACCGCTGACTATCGCGTGTGTTCGCGCGAGCAGCTACGATCTGATGTTTACAAACGTTTGCTGCTTAGAAAATACCATTCAATAGCCGTCAAAGACAGCCTCCCGGGCTCATCTTAAAGGACCTACTCACAACTTCTGGCTATATTATATTATTTTCCATGAAGCTTGACAGTCTTCTTCCACTTCAGGCAGATTATCCTTCACTTGAGTTATCCTTTTTTCGCCGTCGCAAGATTTCATATCGGTTGGATATTTCGTTTAGATATGAAGCAACCTTTATGTCTCCGAGAATCGTCTTCTTTATCTTCGTTTCGGTCTCCTGCATACGCAGTGGCCGTTCAACACATCAAATACACACTGTTAGGTAACCTTGCAAAAGTAGAAATAAGCCTCGCGCCGCCATCTTTGTTTTGAATTTTCGTCTTAATCTCGTGCTTCTTTCGCACGTTTTTCTCGCGCGTGACGCAAGAGTGACTTGTTCCCCACGCGAGGAAACTAGTGCTAGCCACCTTACGAACTTTATCTTAAGGTGGCTGGTACGGGTATCCTCGCGCGGGAAACAGGTCACCCTTGCGTGACGCGCGAGAGAAACGTGCGAAAGAAGCGCGAGATCAAAAGATGAAAATTCAAAGCAAAGATGGCAGCGCGTGGATTTTTTTGTACTTTCGTGAGAAGTTTACCTAAGAGCGTGTATTTGATGTGTTGAGCGGCCACTGTGAATGCAGGAGATAGAAACTAAGATAACGAAGACGAGTTTTGGAGAAGCAAAGGTTTCTTCACTTTATATCTAAAAGAAATATTCAACCGATTTGAAGTCTTGCGACGGCGAAAAAAGAATAACTCAAGTGAAGGATAATCTACCTGAAGTGAAATAAGACTTTGAAACTTCAAGGAAAATAATATGATGTAGCTAGAAGTCGTGAGTAGGATTTTTAAGATGAGCCCGGGAGGCTGTCTTTGCCAGCTGTTTAATGATTTTCTTAGCAGTAAACGCGAATTTACGTCTGTAAACATCAGATTGTAGGCGCTCGCGCGAGCACACGTAATTGTTAGCGGTAGTTATAACAGATCATGAGCAAATGTCGATCTTATAGAATCCAGATTTTAAATGCGCGAGAACGCGCGTGGAAATTGCTAAACTCACGAAAGCAATTGCATGAAAACAAGTCCGGTGACCCCTTCTTTTTATTATTCCAATTGGATAATAACGTCGAAAGGAATCATCAGAAAAAAAAAAACTAGAAAATTCTACGGAAGGAAATTTGCGATGTGTAAAAATTGCCTTTTTTGTAGATTTTCTGAAATTCCGCTCCGTATAATTTTTTAAAAATCTTTGTGCATTTTCCTTTTCAAGTGCCAAAAGCAATCTGAAAAAAAAAAAACACTGAAAAAAAAAACACGGGGTCACCGGGTTACTTTTCGAATTATTTCAGCCACAAGCTAAAAAATGCGACTGAATAAGCCTATGAAAGCGTTGCCATGGAAACTGCTAGTGACAAAATGACACCTATTTTTGAATAACCAATGATTATATAATTCAACCCTGTAAAAGTGTTCAACTGGCCTTGGTCAGTCGTTTTGTTGTATTCTTTCAAAGTTACAAACCATCAAAAAGATGAGAACTGGTACCAGCCACCTTAAACAAATACGCTACGTGCACTGCACGTGACTAGTTTTGCCATACATGTTTGTTAATTGCCAAATCAATTATTCCTTAAATATATACATTGTGTCAATGCTTTATTCTTTGCTGGCTAAACCTGTAATTCAGTGATTTATTCTGCAAGAGGTCTCAGTAAACCAAATATCTATCTATCTATAACTTTTCAGGGGATCGGAGGCCGCTGCCCTCGCGCGTGACACACGCTTCGTGCGTGACAAACGCCTCGCGCCTGCCTCCGTTCGTCTGAAAAATAAGAATACTTAAAGCTTTCTGTTACAAAGAACCATTAACCAATCTTTTCTTAATTTGAAGGTGCAGTGTATCTGTTTTTTAGTATAGTATATAACTTTCTTTTCTCTCAGGTACATTATGACCTTCGATTGTCCACGGAGATTACAAACACGATTCACGAAGATACGATATCAGAGTTCATAAAAGAAACAGCAGATTCGGTGTTAACTGAAGAACTCGATCGTAAAAGGTATTTGCTAACTTGCCTGAATAAAAGTAGCACTTGAATTATCTTTTAGAAAAGGTTACAGTCGATCTGAAGTATGTTTTGCTCTCCACAGAATCGTTGAGGAAAACGCGGTCATCCGAGAGCGGGTATTACGTACCATCAACGATGACTTCACAGAGGAGTTTATCTCCCTTGAATGTACAAGGATTGTGGAGGAAGTTATACGGTATGATAAAGCTCATATTTAGGGATTGATGTCAGTATATGACTAACTGCGCACCAACACTTCCCTAATTAACCAAACATTAGCCCAACATTAATCCAACATTAACCCAACATTAACCCAACATTAATCCAACATTAACCCAACATTAACCCTAAGTTGTCATCAGTTGCCTGTTATCGGTTGACATTACCGAAGGAAAAAGAATAAAAAAACAGAAAAATTAAATAAAACAACAAATACAACCAAAATAACAACGAAATAACTAAAACAAACCAAAAAGCAAGCAAGATCCGAATTTGAAAGGTTAATTTATAAGGAAGTGACAACGAGTATTACTTCTTTCCCTGGTAGGGATGCCAGTGCCCCCTCCAATCGTTCTTTTGTCAGGTGTCCCTGTGCCTTTCTCCCGGAGAGAGTCATGGGGAGAGTTTAGGGTCTTGATTTAGATCGCCACGTAATGCGTCTGTTATGACACGGCCAGTGCTGGACCCAGTCCTCCGGACGCAGAATCAAGCGCGCTAACCAGCAGGTTTTTGTTGTCTTTGGTCAAAGTATGCTTTTGCAGAAATTTTTATGGAAGTAAGAAGTTGGTTACAGCTGGTGGTAAAGTTGCGATTCATTCCTCCGACGTGTATTCATTCCTCTGAGGTGTAGGACAGTTTTTTTTTTTTTACTCGAAATTCTCGAATTTATCTCTTTCTTTGTTACAGAGAAGTGCGTTTGGAGCTTCTGGAATTGGCCAGAGAAAGAGTATCAAAAGAGATTTGTCAGTCATTGATCGAGGAAAAAATCTCTAATGAATTAGAAGAAATTGCAGAGGAAGTCTTCCAGGAGGCAAAGGCAGAGAGAGACGCTAAGTTGCAGTTATTGGCCGGCTATGTCAAAAGAAGCAGAACTGCAAAATATTTCAAAAGGTGTGCTCTCACTTGCTCCATTCAGATCTGTAGAGAATTAATTGCATTAAACGTAGATCCAACACGTCATCCCCTGCCTCCCCTACTAGGTTTGGTTCTTCCCTAATGTCTTGCCATCGTCTTTTTGTTTCTATAACTGGGGGATGGGGCAAAGGCGAACATTTTTGTTTTTTCCGATGATTCTCAAAACTACAGGTGTTGCTAAAGTGAATCAGCAATGACACGTGCTTGGTTAATGAATTTCTCGATTTTCCCCTTAGCATGCTTGCCACGCTGGTTGTCTGTAGGCGGGTTTGATTAGTTTGGTTTTGGTTTTGGTTTTACGACAGCGAATTGAAATGCCCTCCAAACAGCCCTGCTTACTAAAGAGTTCTCTTCAGCTCAGGTGGCAGAGTATTCCATCTTTTTCATTCGCAATCTGTAAAAGCTACTTCTCCCTTTGAGTCAGCCCATATGTTTTTGTTGGCTTTTCATGGGAATTTGAAGTTATATCAAGGAAATATCATCCCCATTGTGTTAGTCTTCTTTTAAGGAGTGAAATCCTAGTTACCTTCCGCCTATCATCAGGGACCTTAGGGAGCTTTAGCAACGACGACGGTGACGGCAACGAGAACGGCGGAAAACAATAGGTTTAATGAGCAAAAATAATCGCCCTGCACGTGCGTTTAACATTTTGTTACATTTCTTTGCCGTTCTCGGCAAAACAACAACGTGAAATAACCAAACTTTAGGTTTTCTCGAGAACGTGAGCGCATGATGGTTAATTTTTCTTTCTTTCTCCTTACTTTAACGGCGTTCGAAGTGATATAGTCCCTGAATAGTTCGCCAGCATTTTCGAAGTGAAACACATCGGAATAACCTCGAAAGAGTTACAAAAACGAAAAGTTAGTTTTCGACACGACGTTTTCGTTGCCGTCGCCGTCGCCGTTGCTAAAGCTCCCTCTTAAGAAACTACGACGGCGACGCCAAGGAAGACTTCGATTAAAAAATGAATTTCTACTCTTAGTTAGAATTTCAAAAATGGCTGCAGGAGCTTACTGTCTCATACAGCGCCATAGCTCAACTTCAGCATGACGTATAAAGTAGCCGTTACGTTCCAAATGGAAATTAAAATAATTTGCCGTCGCAGTTTCGGTTCGCAGACGACGTAAATTTATGTTGTTTTGCATAGGACGGCTAAGAAATGTACAAAGTTTTAAAAAACGCACGTGCTGAGCTATTGTTCTTCCAATTAGATCTCTTGTTTTTCCACGTGCTCGTTGCCGTCGCCGTCGTGGTTTCTTAAGGTCCCTAATATTTGAAAGTTGTAAGGAGAATACAGCAGAAGTTCACTCCCGAGGGTCAAAGGCTAAGACAAATGAGGAATTTGGAGGAATGCCTTTCAACCAAAGCAATTAGCTAAGGACTGTCGCTTTAGAGAACTCTCCGTCACTGATTAGAGACACGCGGTTGCATACGGGTCAGAATCTCTCTTACCAAGTGACTAGTTGTACTGTCAATCACATCCTGAAACAAAAGTAAGGTTTATCGCTGGACCGTTGGATCGTTGGATCGTTGGATCGTTGGACCGTTGGATCGTTGGACCGTTTTCAAAACTCAACTTGTCTCTTAAGAAATGAAGGATTTGACGCCATTTAATGATCTGGGTAAATTTTGTGAAAGACGTCACTTATAAGTTGTTTCTTCTTCAAGGTGGTTCAAAGCATTCCGCGCCAGTGTGCATCTAAAGGAACTTTTAGGCTCGTTTCCTCCTGGACCTCCCATGCTCAACATCGACAATCAACTTCAGCACCTTGTGGGACACAGGAAACGGGACATCGCCATGGCCGTCCTACGGTAAATGTCAATCTCTCTTTGTTCTTTGAGACCTATCTTGCCTGATACTTGTCGAGCTTCCATCTAACATTAGTTGCAATTGAATTTACCTCAGAAGTGATGCTCATGAAAGGGAAATCCACGATGCAATCAAAAAAAGACAAACAGATGTGGAGTACAGCAGGTATTTACAATGGTGTATCTATTGACAAACGCGTGGAAGAAACGCATAGATACAAATGGCGACCACTTCGCTTCGGTAAAAAAAATTTAAAGGAACAAACGAGATTAAAGGAGGTGTAGTTATTCTGATGAGCTTGCAAGTAATAGGTATTCCTATTCTCAGGATCAGCAAAACTTTCCACCTCAGAATATATTTCACTGCCAGCGAAAGTTTTTGAACGTATAATATTTACAGTGGAACAAAGAACAACAAATACTGGAGTACCATAAAGTTGTGGGAAGTGTTGAGTACGAATCAACGCAGTTCCGCGTGCCTCACGTAGCTTTTGTCTCGCCTCAAATACAAAGAAAACGAAGCGGGTGTCCCTCGTATTTTCTCGCAGAGGCGATCAGCACGTTATTTTGGTTGTTGAAATTTGAACACACACAGTCCCTTTGGTAGAAGCTGGAAAAAAAGACATCAACATAGCCGCATACTTTCTCTATTCATCACCTTTAATCCTTAGCTTCAGTCGGCCAAGAAGTCCTTGGTATCAAATTTGAAAAGCTTATTTCTTTTTTAAATTAGTTTCTTATATTCCTTTTATCAAAGAAAAGAAGCATGCCGTCCGCTGGACGTACCATTGCTGCTTGCAGACTCGATGAGATGCCAGCCAGACGCTCAAAGATTAGTTCCCAGCTCTCCGGTTTATTGGAAATTAATTCTATCGTTACCAGAAGTCCGCGATGGGCTGGAATTCGCCGCCAGTGATGACGATAACGGACTTGGCGTCTGTTATATAATCAAGGAAAAGTTTAAAAGAGGATTGTATCCGGTCAGTGACAACATTCCTCAGGGACTTAAGAGAAAAGTAAGTTCTTAATTTTTCTGCTCCTTGATTTAGTTTTTTACTGTAAATGAATAATGGAGATGTGATTAACCAGTGAATACTGAACTGAAGCTAAAACACGTGACTCTTGTAAGGCGCGAGAAAATGCGTGGGACCAGCCCCTGTCGCGCCTGGTTTGTTTAATAAATCTTTGTGATGTAGCATTTTAAGTCATCATATATGTAGAGAGGAGATACAAAAGGAAAGTTGTAATTTACTTTGGTTTTTTGTATGTAGTGGAAATAACTTTATCTGCATCAGATTTTGATAGTTCTTGCAGTTACAGCCACGACGGGTTAGGCCTCGTAGAGCAGGTTAACTTTGTCCTTTTTTTCTGTTTATTTTATCTAACGTTATTTTCCCCTCCGTTTAGATTGATTTGTTAGCACTCTATGGTGCGGAAGTCCGTGGAATTCCTTTACAGAAAAGATTACTGAAAATTTGCACTAAGGTCAGTGAAAAAGAAAACTAAATTTTAGAGCCATCTTCAATTCTGACTTTATTCTTTGTTAATTAATTCTAGTAATTTGAATTTAATTTTTAGGCTAGTTACTACCGTCTTTACTTTGGCTCTTTTTTTACTCTTTCTTGCAAGCAATTTGCCTGTGTGCGTGTGCGTGCGTGTGTGAGCGTGTTTGCGTCTGCGCGTGTGCGTGTGATTATACGTGAAAACTTTTGTTGTTGAGAGAGAGTGCCGAGATTCGTAAAACTAGCGAAATCGGTGTTCTTCTGATAAGCTGATAAGATGGCAAGATTGAGATTAATTACGGAGACAGAGAGAATTTTCGATGTTATTTTTCAATTGTTTTGTTTGTTTGTTTTTTGTTTTTTTGCAGGCCTGCTATGGTGTTTTAACGAACACAGAAGTAAGAGAAGCTATGGATACGCGGCAGTTTTTCGGATCTTGCGCGGTCATCTTCGTTGTTGACGGAAAAGAACTTAAGAGCAATCCAGAGGTAAAATGAACTTCAAAGCGTCACGCAACAGTGTCAAGGAAAGGAGTGCTTCTGTTAATGAGGAAGTTTTCAAAATGAAATTTATACAGTGGAGTCAAAGCATTCTTTTGCACGGAACAAATGATCTGTGCACTGAACTCGCTTTTGAACCCTGCCAGTGGTGGGAAGTTCCTATCAATAGTCTTAGCAAAACAGCAGCAAGGAAAACGGAAAGAAATTGCAAAGTTTAAAAAAAAACTAAAGCGCACAAGAGAAGTCTTGATTATTGTTTCTTTACTGGCCTACAATCTCTAAATTTCAATGTTTACGGTACATCTTCGAATCTTTTTTTTTTATTTATTGGTTTGACGCGAAATAAACTTACTAGGTACTGAAAATGGTGAAATTTCATGGGCTTCAACTCTCAAAGTATATAATTGTAATAAGCGCCCAGGATGCCTAATTGAATAATTACGGTATGTGTGTAGCATACCCTTACGGTTGGTTGACACGCACGTATTTTTCACAGATTTTTAGTCTTTGTAGCTATGTGATCTTGGTTTAAATGTTTTGAGAATTGCTCTCCTAATGTAGTAACATGCAATTTAGGCCCCCAGAGAAGCTCACATTCGCTTGAGACGTGTACTTGAAAGCAAGCCACCTGAACCGAGACTGCCAGTCGCTGTGATAGCAATAGACAACGACGAGCATTCCTCAACCGAAGGTAAGTTACTCGCCTACTCGTGAAATGATTAGGGGCGTGCTAAAACTGTAGGCTCAGTAACCATTTTTATTTTTCGCTGAAGCATCTCAGCGGGCCAGTATCTTAAACCTTTAATTTGATTGGCTACTCGTGCGTTCTTAACCGGTCCAGCTTTTTACAGTACGGACCACGGTCTAGAATTTTATCCGTGTCATTGGCAGCAAAGCTGAAAAGTAAGTTATTAACTGATCTAGGTTGATCCGTGTGGGGAAAAAAACTATTTTCGCGCACGGACCTCCCGCCCGGTGACTAAGAAATCTCTTTCAAGACGTATAATTGGTGGGAAAAATGGGGGAAGAGAAAAGAGACACTTCTAAAAGCCTATTACAGCCACGTGAAAAGTTATTCAATATTGTTCTAAACGGAGGCTTGAGATGACCTTGAAATGATAGATATAGTGATGTTGTTTGCATGAAAAAAGGCGTCTTCAGATACACATGAGAAGCCGCGAGTTTACGTTCAACAAAAATCAATTTTGGCTCACTTCAGTTCTCAGGGTAAAAAGTTTTGGCTTCTCAGATTTATCGGTAGTAAAATGTCTATCCCATTTGTTCCAGGAGATGTGTTATCCCTTCTCGGTGTACAGCAGCTAAGAACAGACGGTCTAATATCAGAGTACAAACTCTCCACAGTCAGCTCGCTCCCAGGCCACCGGGATGATCTGTCACCAAAGGTATCTGAGAGGTTTGACTTTATTCATGATCAGCTTCAAAGAGTTCTTGTAATGACAAATTTATCTTTGTTGCCTTTGCGAATTTGACAATTGGAATTAAAAGTTACCATTTTATTTATGCTATCACACTTTTCTCTGAACACTGTCATAATTGCTGATCGTAACAGGACACGCGAGGCCTATATGAACTTAATCCGGGACTGCAGTTAGTTTTGGTTTACTTTGCTGTATGATTGATCAAGAAAGCTCGCGCTACTCGCTCAACTAATCAGATTAAAAACTATAATCAACCGTTCAGTGGTCGCCTGTATTTTCCCGCGTTTCAGACAGTTTGCTTATTTTATGAGTTCTAATTGGTTCATCACGGTATTTTCCTCTGCTCTGTTGGCCGGTTCAATACTTGGTTTTGGTTTTACGATAGTGAATTGAGATGCCCTCCTGATGGCCTTACTTACCAATGAGTTCTCTTCAGCTCAGGTGGCACAGCATGCCATCTTTTTCATCGGCAACATGTGAAAGCTACTTCTCCCTTTAAGTCACCTCATATTTCTTTGTTGGCTGTTAATGAGAATTTGAAGTTTTATTAAGGCAATATTCATCCCCACTATGTTTATCTTCTTTTAAGAGATAAAAATTCTCGTTAGCCTCCTGCTTATCAATATTTGAAAATTGTTAAGAGAATACAGCACAAGACCACTCCCGAGTGTGAATTATAACATAACCAAAGTAAAGCGCGCGCTCTGATTGGTCAATTTAGCGTCCCCCATTTTCCAATGGGTGTACGCTGCTGACGTGAGCAAATGCAAAGACTATTTTTCCGCGCGCGCTTGTTTTTTCTGGTCGCGTAAGATTTGTTAAATAAAAGGGAACTCTTTAGCTACAATGTATCAATGTTATGTTATAAAACAAATGGTAAACACCACAGCGTACACTATTGAGTTATGGATGCACTTGGGAGGTTTGCTAAGCACTCAAGAAGCTAGAGTCGCTCTCGGCTATCGCCTCGAGCGACTCTTACGCTTCTTTCGTGCTTAGCAACCTCCCTCGTGCATCCATAACTCAATAGTGTACGCTGTGGTGTTTACCATTTGTTAAAGGGTACAAAATTGAGAAATTTTGAGAAAGTCTTTCAACCAAAGCAACGAGCTTAGGACTGTGGCTGTAGAGAACTTGTAGTCTCTGATGAAAGATCAGTGGTGGTTAGACCATAATACCTTTTGATTAATGGTTACAAAATTGTTCTGTGCATAGCTTTGCTCAGCAGTGAGTTGGTTAGGAAGTCACATGGCTCGATGCAGTCTTCCGAGAGCGGACAACATAGTAAACTTCATTGAAAATGGTGAGTGCCGTAGCTTTAGAATCAGTCGAGTTGGCGCCCGTACACTCGCCAAAGTCGAGGGTTTGACAATTAGCAGGGCAGAAAAAAATATCTCTTTTCAAATATCTGCACGTGCAAAACAATGATTCTCCAAATCATCCCAAGAGAGTTTTTTGAACACAAGATAGAAAGGAATACCGTGCCAACCGGCCAGTGGTATTACACCTAGTCTATGCATCACTTACCTGCGCATACGTGTGTTTTTCCTCGTAGTTTTGGGTTTGAAAACAGCATTTATTGCCTTTTGATTATCGCACAAAGAAAACTAACAGTGCCATTGAGTTTGTTATTCGTGACATCATAAGCTCAGTGACGTCATTAATCACTTAATTCAGTTAATGGTGTCGTTACAAATTGACGTCAAAACAATCACGACCTCGATTTTTAAAACGACTTTGTTCAGTCAGTAGCGTCGTTAACTTAAATGACGTTAAAAAGTTGATAACATCGTAACCACCTGGAGCTACCCAAAAAACTAAAATTTGAAGTCGTGATAACCTTTCTTGAGACGAACCTGCACCGTCAGTTTAAGGCCATAGTAAAGTTGCAAGAGAAATATGGTGTGAAGATGTCGATAAACAGAATTGAAAAGGAAAACAACTAAATCTAGAATTTTTAAATTGTTAATTTTGTAATGAAAGCCATTAATCTCTTCCTCAGAGCGTTCACACCCTCTCCAATATACATCGGCTTTCCTTTTCAATGAGTGAGAGTTGGGTTTGTAATTTTTTTCAGGTCTTCAGCGATTCTTCACGACGCCACTGGCCGAGGATGTGTTTGTCAGAAGACAAGCCAAATTAGAACAACAGGTACTTATAAAATAATTTGTCGTGCTTTTCATACATGAGCCGCTGGCTTGTAGCGCGCCTTCGTATTTAAGGTTAATTTTGGGTTAGGGGAGGGGTGGGTGTGTGTCAGAGTCTAACATTTATCCATAGATTTATTAATTGGCCTTGTTGTCAAGTTGCTTTTTTTATTATCTCGTTTCGTTTTCCATTTTTTTAGTGCCCGGAAGCTATTGTTGAACTATACAACAGTGCCTTGGAACATTTAGGAGCCGTTGCTTCATCGAGGAGTTTACAAAATATGTCTTGGCCGATAAAAGAATTTAGCGATAAAGAAAACAGGGAACACGGTAAGGGTGGATTATTTCTATTCAGCCATTGATTTTTAGAGCTTTCAACTTTCCTTTATCTGTTTATATTACATTTATTTCGCTCAAATAAGCTTTATGATAGGCCCGGAAAACCCTCGCCATCTCTACAACCAATTAGATGTAAAACCGAACACAATTTGACAAATGGTAAACACCACAGCGTACACGAGTTATGGATGCATGCAGGAGGTTGCTAAGAACGAAACATGCGTAATAGTCGCCGAGAGTGACTCTAACGTTAATCTTGAGTGCTTAGCAAACCTCCTAAGTGCTTCCATAACTCAATAGTGTATGCTGTAGTGTTTATCATTTGTTTTATAACGGAACGTTGATACATTGTTGTAAAAAAAATCCCTTTTATTTAGCAAATCTTACGTGACCAAAAAAAACAAGCTCGCGGAAACTAGTCTGCATTTGCTCACGTCAGCAGCGTACAACCATGGGCAAATGGTGGACACTAAAATAGTTCCTATTGGTCGACTTGAGTACTTTGAATTTGGTTCCCCTTCTCCTAATCGAATAATAGCTTTGCATTACCCAAAGGGGCAAGAGGCAAGGCCTCGTCTTATTTCCTGTTTATTTAATGACGCCTCATTGAGGTGCTTTGTTATCCGGACAGAATATCTTCTTCTGGAAAGGAAATTTAAAAAGAAGGAAAGGAAATTAGAATAAACAAAAGGAAGAAAACAAGAGCAAAAATCCTCTAAGTGTTTTGCTTACTTTTTAGCAGACATACCAGATGTTACATGGAACAGTTACGAGAACTTACAAAGAATGAATTCCCTTATTATTTCATTAAAACTCCCTCCACCTCCACCAGCGGCTGTTGAGGGTAAGAAAAATTTTCTTCATCTTTGGAATATATTTCTGTTGTTCAGCGAAAGACATCCATTTTGAAGCTTGCTCGACGACTGACCCGTACTCCATCGTGAATACTTCTTCGAGCGAGACTCCCTCGCGGAGAGGTCTACCGGCATGCTTCCTTTAAGCTTTTCCAATACCCACCTTCATAGATAATCTGTTTATTTTCTAGGCACATGGGAATCTGAAAGAAATTTGTGTCTGAAATACGTTCGAAGTTTGTCACCAAACACCGCCAGCCTGTTAAACAGGTAAGTTTGACAGGATTCCTGCAGAACAGGCCTCGCAAAGGGCAAGTCATGCGCGATGGGAGGCGCTCACCCAGCGCTTGTCTCCGTTTACTAGTAACCGTGAGAGATATTGGGGTTTGCGGTGTTTCGGTGTTGACCCCTTTTTTTAAAGCGGTAGTGCGATGAAGAACGACTCGCATGGCAGTGTTGCGGTGATCTCAAACCTTACGTAATACGATGTTTATAATTTTAGACCAAATGTGTTCGGTTAAATAAATCATTTTCGGTGTGGCAGTTTATCTTTTAACCTTTTTAAAGCTAGATTTTGAAACCCATTGTTAATTCTCGAACAAAGTACGCAATACGTCCGAGCTAATTCTTACTAAACATTAGTTCATTAACCCAGACCGTGTTCGCTAATCATTTACTTGACCCCAGGACCTTCACCACACGCACTATCGGCCAGCCTAAGATCAGTGCGAGGTAAAGATGATTGAAAACAGACCAGGAAAATTCTGAGACTTTAATATATCGCGGTGTCGGTGTGTTGATAATGTTTCTTGTGGTGGGTGATGCGGTGTTTGTTCTATTTTATTTGCGGTGTTGAGGTATTCACAACCCCACATTTCCCCCTCAGTAAACGCACATAAAATACGACTGTTCTGTGGGCTACTGTCTAGGTTTCTGAGTTATTCCATGTTACTTTTAGGGTCAGGTGGGTTCTCTCACGCACCCATCGAGCATTGAACGGTATCGACTTACCGCTGGCCAGTCCTTGGTTATCTGCATCTCAAGTTCCCTGGCCACTCGTGCTGGAAGCATGCGTAAACTTTCGCTTAACCCCACTACATTCAGACCCAGGCGTAGAAGAGCAGGACGTGTATTTCTTACCTGAGGAGTTGGACGCGTTTTATCCACCGTCTCTCTGGACGCAGTCGGTGAACTTATCAAAGGAGGAAGCGGCAAAGGCGAAGGGTGAAAGCAGGTATTTTGAGTACGCGTGCGTATTCTTTTACAGACTTCCTAGCCATCTCATCGTTCAACTGATTAGAGAGACATTTTGTCCAAGTATTAATAACAAGAGAGCTAGAGAAAATGATGGGCCATTATTTACTCTTGGACGAAAGTCCTCGGTAAAGAACGGTGATTGCAGCTAACGATTTATTTGGCAGAAGAATACCTGTTTTCAGATCTATTGGTCCTATGCAAAACGGAAATTTGAATCCCCCACATTTTCCATAAGTTATTTGGGAGCGGAAACTTCGGGGGAAAACTATCCTTGTTTCCACCTCGCTCGGAACATTGTCTCCACGGGTTATGCCGAGGGCCAGATGTGGTGCCATTAGCGACGGTGAAAACGCGCAATTCTTGACAGAAAGGGAAAAGTTATTCATAAATTGGTGTTTTCTTAAAGTGCCTATGACATGTTTTTTGTAGAATTTTTATGAAATGAAGGTTTTTTGTAGGACCTGTTTTCAAAAACGCCCAAAAAGTTCTCATGGCATAGGCACTTAAAGCTTCGCCGTGGTGACATTATTAACTTCTTCCACCACAAAAGTAGCCTCTTGTTTTTGCTAGAGTTCTATGAAACTCTGGAAGAGTTAGAAGTGTTACACAGGTGTCTGAGCTAAAGTGAATGTTAATTTTCAGTCTGGGGTTGTCTAAACCAAGGAAGACCAGAGACACAGTGTTACACGAGTCGTTTATGGACATGGAACAGCAGTTTCACGAGATAACAGGTATTATGGCATCTCTCGGTTAGTCTGTGCGTTATGATTGGTCAATTTAGTGGGCTGTATTTCACTTGACAACCTGCTAAATTCAAAAGTTGGTTTTTGAATCGAAATCTCCCCTCGCCTCCCCCCAAAACCCATAGGTAAAATAAATAAGTTAAAAACCTCGGTATTTGTCGGTCCGTACTGAAAGTTACAAAACCTCGTATTTTTTTATCTCGGATTCAAGGTCCGCACGCTTCGCGCTTGGGTCGTAAATCCGAGCGGAAAAATACTTACAGTAGGGACCTTGAGTTCGGCTATTAGGAGGTAAAAAGTCAATGACATTTGCGTTTTTATCGTCTCTTCTATCGTCTTAGGCAGCTGTTATTATACCTAAACGGTACAAAGAACCATCAGCGACCCTCTTTGCTCTCTCTTTTTGATCAGAGAAGATGCACAAAAAGCGTCATTGGGGACGTTGTATGACGTTATCTGGCAAGACCCCAAACACCTACAATGCCCTCCCCTACAGGGGGTATAAGTGAATACTGTGAAATTGTCGAGGACTTAAAAACATTTATGCTGGTTGCCTTGTGCTTGTGTTCCGTCCAAAATTAGCTTCACTATACTGTTTATCATTCTTTATGCCTTAGACATCTTGATAAACTTCATCAGTAACGTGGGGTCAAGTGCCCCTGTTTTTGTCTCTTCCTCATAAATTAGCAGCACAAGAGAAGGACCGTCGATTTTTATGTGGCTACACTTTAAAGCCCCACGGCTCCCCCCCTCCGCCCTCCCCAAAAAAATTACATTTGATCGCAAGTCGATGCGAAGCAGTCTCGTGAACACACTTTGCCTATTTCATTGTTATTTAGGTTCCTCTCCATCTCTCGCAATACCATCAGTGGAGTTTACGCCTTCGGTCACGTCATCCTATATCTCGATTCCATCAGTCACGCCACTATTAGTAACGCCAGCTCTTGTCCCGCCAATTCCACTTGCGTCTTCCGTGGATATCGAATCTCCAAGTTCGTCTTCCCGGTCTGAAATAAGGATAATGAGCAAACAGTTGAAATCTGCTGTGGACCAAGCTAAGACGAAGTCTAAACGGTAAGAGAATTTCCTTCATCTTTCAGATTTGGTTGCGAAATGAAAAGTATTCAAATAATTTTGAATTGAATGGAGGCGGCTTGGTCGACTCGTTTCCAATGTTAGCTTGTCCTCCTAAATAGAGCAGGAAAGATGCTAACTTTTGATGTCGGTAATAAAATAGAGACGTTTTTTCTTTCGTGTCGTCACTGTTAAAAGCTTTTGCTATTTTCAGAATCTATACTTTCTAAAATGTACAGTAATGTATAGTTTTCCATGGTTCCTTTTAAAACGTCGTGCGTCGGAAATTTTCTGAAAGGCACCCTATTTTGTTGACAGTAACCTTAAATACATACTTCATTATTTCTTTCCAGTTTCCTGGGGGAAGTTTTCAATATTTTTCAATTTCTTGGGGGAGCTTTTCCATATTTTGATCCATAGTCCGAAAAGAGTGTTAGATAGCGAGCTGGTTATAACTTGAGTGTTACGATACAGAATCAAGAATGGTTGCTTTTATTAGAAATGTAGTATTTATTAACCCTTTACGTTCCTTTCAGATTTGAAGAATTATTGAAAAACGCTCTTAGTGAGGGTGAAAGTCCTCGGGCACTGGGAGAGAGCTCGTGGAGGAAAAGAAAAGCGCAGAGCCTGGGAGAAAGCAAGGTAGACAATTTACCTAATCTTTTACATGTGAAGAGTTCTGACTATCCCTTGGGGGTTTCCTGACCAAAATAAACCAGAGTGAGCAATGTAAAAATTACTAGGTATACAAATTTAACGAAAGACATTTCAGTTCGACAATAAAATTTTTACAGAGATACAGTTGAAAAGTAACTACGTAAGAACAATCTTCAACAAGAGTAAACAGTACATTTCTAGAGAAGGAGGCCTACCCATGGTTACACCTACCTACATTGACTGGAAATTAGTTATTAAAATCTTCTCTCCGCGAAACGAAAGTCTCCAGCAGTTCGAACTACAGAGGTTTTCTTCAGTTCCCCTTTTTTCTTCCCAGTCAAATTCTATATTTACGCATTCTTCTAAGCGGAGACTCCTAATTGGACGCGGACATTTTTTAGAACAAAAATTGGATTTTTATTTTGTTTACGCTCTCCCGCAAGCGGAAAAAACACCAAAGTTGCATGTATCGACGGCAGCAATAAGTACCGTGTTGCGGATTCTGTATATTTCTTCTTCTTTTGTTTTTCGCTTTTTTCCTATTTTGAGTTTTAACATTTTTAAAAGTCATTAAAGAGTTTCAGTTGCTTCTTTTGGCTACCGTTTAAAACATGTAATTAACACCCTGACTAACTCCCTCGTAAGCGGGCATCTGTTTCTTTAGTGTCTGCTTGTGGGAATACTTCTCATGGGCGGGCAGCTCTAGAAACCGATACTTTTTCCAATTCCCGAAGGTATCCGCCCACGAGTAGTCTGCTACACAGCAGACTACTCGCGTTACGTGACGACCCTAAGAACGGCTGTGTGGCAGACTACTCGCGTTGCGTGACGACCCTAAGACCGGCTGTGTAGCAGACTAGCCCACGAGAGAGTTGAATGTATTCCAGTCACACTTTCGGCGTAACATCGTACAAGTTGTGAAATGATAACCACAATAAACTTAATATCAGCTGCAAAACATTGGTTTGGCATGACTTCAGTACAAGGAGCAAAAAGACACCCGATCATGATGCTAAATCAATACTTCTTGAAATTCCATGAAGAAATAGTATGAGACTTGTATTTAGGTCAAAAGGATAAGGCCTGAAAATAATTACTTAGCCTCCTAATCGAAAGTACCCCCGGAAAAAGGTAAATTGCACTTTAAAAAACAAATTGATTTTAGCATACGTACTGCGTAGGTCATTTCCATTCGCACTAAAAGCCATACGAGAAACTAATCCCTAAATTACTGCAATTAATCAAGTTCTTCCTCGCTTATATACCTGATAGCCAATCCCGAATTCAACGCACTTACCTTGATATAATGCTTATACATTTTCATTCTAAAATAAAAATGAGCAATCATTCAACTACTTTTATGATGTCAACAGTCAAAGTATGAAACACCTGTTTATTTAAAAAGTGTACAACAATATTCCAAGAAAACTTTCACAAGGTCACAAACAAAATACTAATTCTAATTGAATTTTTATAAGTTAAAGTTATTACAGATCCCGTAGTTTTTTTTTTTTTAGTCTTTGGCAAATTTGACTTGAAAAAGAAAAAAGATTACCCACACAGCGACTTGATGTATTTCAAGTATAAAGTCTCCAAAATTTTTAGTCCCATTAACGGTGTTTTAAACGAATAATACATCAAATAATCATAGCGTTAACTTTGACAAGTCTTAACTTCTCTGTCACTGTTTCCTTTTTGTTCCTGTTAGAAGTCGCCAAAGTTTCTTGAGGGAATGAATCTGCCGGATTTTGATGTATCTTTCGGTTCTCTGAAAGAAAGCCTGCGCCACTTTAATGAAACACTCAAGTCACAAAGGTTTGTGTGTTGTTGATATGAAGAACAATTATAGCCGGTTGTACGGAAAAGTGTACACGAGAAATAAGTTACATGTAATTTTTATATCACCTTGTAAGACAACGCCAGAGAAGGCTTTGATCAAAAATTGAATCTATTTTTAGTTGGAATTTCGCGAAAGGAAGGATGTGTTCACCGTTTCTTACTTGCTGCATCTCAACTTCATCGTAACGTATACGAGCAGCGATAATTTACCGTGGGGGCTTCCGTTCTCAGACTACGCAAATTTGAGTGAATTCACATTGTTGTTTTGTAGGGTACGGCTAAGAAATGTATAATTACAAAGTTCAGACACGCACGCACTGAGCTATTGTTCTGCCCATTAGATTTTTTTCGTTTTACCGTGTCTTCCTTGCTGTTGCCGTCGTGGTTTGCTTAAGGTCCCTAATAGGGACTTTAAGCAGTCAGGACGGCAACGCCACGGAAGACGTCGATTAAAAAATGAGTTTCTACTTTTAGTTAGAATTTCGAAAATGACTGCATGTGTTTACCGTCTTATAGGGCGCCAGACCTCACACTCAACATAACGCATAAAAGTAGCGTTGAGTTCGAAATGCGAATTAAAATAATTTGCCGCCGCGGTTTTGCTTCGCATACGACGCAAATTTTGGTGATTTCACGTTGTTGTTTTGCAAAGAACGGCTAAGAAATGTACAAAGTTTTAAAACGCACGTGCTGGGCTATTGTTCTGCCAATTAGATCTATTGTTTTTCCACGTTCTCGTTGCCGTCGCCGTCGTAGTTTGCTTAAAGTCCCTAATATCGGTAGTTACTTGGTGCAATCCTTCATACATGCATCAATACAGAAGAACATATGAGAATACATGGTCATTTGCATTCATTAACATACATTAAGGATTACACCAAGTACTTACCCTAATATCAAATTATGACGCTGACCGCGCGTTATGTAATAACGTAACTTTTCGAAAATTGCGCTTGCCAAGCAATCAGCAATCAACCTGTGTCGTACGTAACAAAGCCTCGCGGGCTCTTACGATGACTTCAGCACAGATTGTCGAGACATCTGTCAAGGTCACTGACATCAGTCTTTGATCATATACGTAATCTTTGGAACCAAGACAATTCCATTAGTTTTTTAGCCAGTTGAGAGAATCGCGAGAACAGACACGGACATGAGCTATTATGATTTGTAATGATAAAATTTTCATTTGACCTGCGGATTGAAAATCCAGCGAAGAACTATTCGTCGCAGGTGAGCAGATACCTTCGTGGAAAGGAATAACCTCCTAGAGTATACCCCGCTCCCAACGTGTGGCTTTGCATTTCAGTTTGTAGTAGTGCTTAACTTGCATTTAGGAGACCGCAATTACTTTAATTTAAGCTCACCAGGGAATATAATTGCTTTAATTGATACAAACGAAGAGAAAAAACTGAGCTGACGTTCTAACTGGTTCAATATTTTTTGAATAGTTTCTTTGATCGTCATGGGAACATTCTATTTTTATTTGCTTTCTTCTACAGACGTTCTGACAAGTTCACAGAAAGAAGGTTGAGAGAATATCTGGACTCGTAACAAAAAGCAGACCCATCATTATAACATCCTTATTACAGATTAAGATAGAAGTTTTGAAAAATGATATGAGATTGTGATTAGAATGTTACAAGATCTTGTTTACCTGTCATTCTTAAAGATTTTACACCAAATACAGCTGTTGTTGGAGGTGGCAGCCTTCATTCCCATAGCTAGGAGTAGGAACTCTTGGAAACAATATAAAGTTCATGTACATTATATAATACTACAGTGGGATCTTGATTACTTAATCCTTCCTGAGAGTTTAATTATAGTGAAACAAATCCAATGGCAATGACTTTTTGTTTGAGTTAAAATCCAGATCTTTTGTAAAAAAAAATGCATTCTGTCAGGAGAGATAACTACTTTTTCAAAATCTTAGAATAGGTACATGAAACTTGATTTACCTTGTAATCTCCTCCCAGGAAGAATTCTAAGTTAACTTCCTGGCCATCAACCACAATATGACCCTCTTTGAAGGTGGCATTCACATCACAGATGACATTTGTTAGTTATGCTTTTAGAGTCTGCTGCTCCTCCTTTCCCTTGATGATGGCAATAGTGTGGTTTCCTACAAAGGATAATTTTTAAAAAAAATTGTTTAACCTCCAGCGTGTGAGACCACTTCAAGCATGTTTTGCTGTCAATTTCTTTTATTAGTTTTCGATGTTGAAATTGTGCATATAAAGGGAATTTCTAAATAGTGTTTGTATTTTTTTTTTTTTTTTTTTTTTTTTTTTTAAATCATGCTACATGTAAGCTGGCATTGTCTAAAACTGGTTTAGTTGTTTGCTCTTCCTATAAGTAACTTACCTGAGCTTGACAAATAATTTTGTCCATTCTCCACAATGGCAAATGAACACACAAAAACATTGCTGCTGTGAGACATTCTGGTGCCATCTCCTGATATCTTCACTTTCATGGTTTGTACAGGCAATTCAATATTCTTCAGCTATGAAAAGAATACAACACAGAAAACGATTGGATAAAACTACGATGTTGAGATTTTGGTTGGCCAGGGAATGAAAAAAAAAACAATTCATTTGTATCAAACAGAGGCACAGTGTGAATGAAATCCTTAACATTCTCTGTTTTGGCTTAACTTATTGTATAGTTGGCAATATCTCTTTTTGACTTTAATATTAAACATGTTAAACATACTCAAACATGTTTGGGTTTATATGTGAAAAGGATTTTTTTGTATCTGAAGACTTTTACACTGGGCATCTGGGCATTACACTGGGCATTACACTGAGCATCAAAACAGATTATAGTACAACTTACGTGCTGTCGAACTTCATGCTCCAGCAGAAGTTTGGATGGCAGCTCTGCACCTGGAGCATCTCCTAGTGTCCGTGTAACTTCCCATTTACTGTCCAAAACCTTGGTGCAGCTTTCAGTTAGATATGTCATGGGGAGACTATTTTCAACTTGGGTGAGTTCATGATATCCCTCCAGTGAAATGGAAAATCTATCCATAATAAATAGGAGAGCCCTGATATTTTCCTTCTCCTCCTCATCGAGGTTGTCATAGGGCTTATTAGGTTGGCCTGTGAGAAAAAATAGAAAAAGCCTAGTTATCAAACTGCACACACTAAACAGTATAAAGCCTAGTTAACATTTCAAAGCGAGAGTTAATTTCTATACTGAGACATACTGTAGGGCTACTGGAACAAGCTTACTTTATTTCGAGATTATTGTTGCTTTTAACATACTTGTGTTCTTCTCAGATGACATATCATGACTCCCCTCTGAACAGACAATACTCTGCAATAAAGGAAAAAAAAATCCTTGATATTGAAGTGTTTTGGTAAAACTAAACTGGGGTGAACTATGGCTACCTTCAGACAACTGGGCCTTAGTGATGATTACAACCTATGTAGTGGTAGTTACCTTTATTAAATTCTTGACTTTTAAGGTTACATTGATCAGGTGACCAGTAGTGTCTTCTAGACTCAGCGATTGTGGACTCAGCCCATATGTCTCAGCAAACCATTGTGCATTTTCTGCCTTTAAAGGCACACACAACCCACAATTCCTCTATTCGCTCCGACGAAGGGCTAACGCTCGAAACGTCAGCTTTTGTAATCGTTACGGTGGCCAATTTACCATTTCAACTTTGTTGATATATCCAAATTATTTCGTTACTCCCACCGACGCAGCCCCAAACAGTTTCTTTCGAAACTATCAGCCTTGACTCCGATTAGTCTTATTTTGAGGTGTGCTGCACTTTTGTTCAGGGCAGGTTGCCAACGGCCAAGTGAAGCTGAGAGGCTGTTTAGAGGGAATGATATTACCCCACGGACAACCTCCTAGCAGATCATTAGCTATTGTCCTTCCTTACAAGGGTGCATCAATGTTGGATCAGCGGGATTCTATTGGACACAAAAAATATTTTTCTCAAACTGGACTTTGTTATGTTTTACGGCCAACTGGATCTGAAAAGATGTTTAGAGGGATTAGCGGAATTCTATTGCAAACGGTAAATTTTTTTCTCTCGATGAATGGTGTTGTGTTTTATGGCCAACTGCAGTTATATTACACAACGGACAACACCTTAGTAGATAATTAGCCATCGTGTTACACAGGGGTGTGTGTTTGTTGGATATGAAGGATTCTATGGCAAACGGTTTATTTTTTTCTTAATGTAGACGCTGTTGTTTTTAACTTTGACGAGAAGATTGCTGGCATGCGGAATCCAGATTCAGATCCAAATACGTGAAAAACTTGTTTTGCACCTTCGTATCACGTGTCAGCTAGAAAGGGCGAACCAGGTATCTGTGTCGCCATATAATGAGCTGATTATAAGTTTTTCTTTTCGGTTAAATAAACTACAGCAGGTAGAAATAACAGTGAAGAAATAAGCTATTAGGTTGACGCAGTACTATTATCTCGGAATATTAAACTTTCTTATATTTGACAATTATTCGCCGAAAGCGAGGTGGATATCGTCGAATAATCCCCGAGACGAAGTCCAGGGGAATATTCAACAATATTCACCGAACCTGAAGCGATAATTGTCTTAGTATTATTTCAGAGCTGAAAAAAAGAGAAATTTTTAAAATCATAAGATTTTTGTAACATTTATTAACATTTTATTTTAACATTTCATATAAACCGCGTGGAGTGGTTTATATAGCGTCATATAAGGAACCGGTCGACCAATCAGATTGCTAGAAACTCTTTGCTCAGCTCTGAAATTATACTAAAGTATGATTTAGACTATTTAACTTACCTATGTACGTAAACCTCGTTCCAGCTGCATGTTATGGCTATTGTTAAAGCTTCACGCCGGGTGAAACAAAATAAAAGTAACCTTGAAAAGTCGAGCCTTCGTTCTTAGTGTCATTTTTTGACGAAAGGAACTTTTGAAAAACATTAAAAACGATAGTCGCGAAGAATTGTTTATTATTGAAAAAAAAAACAAAAGTTTACTTTTTCACAGAGGGAAAAAAGTTATACCTTAAAGACCTGCCACATTGCGTGAGCTGAAACTAGTCTCTCAAGATGAAGTCTTCATCAATAATTTAGTCGCGTGAAGCCACGACAGTCTTTTTAGAACAATTTTGAGCGAATAATGTCAGTCTTTGCTTCTCAGCATATCTTCATGAATAGCTTAGTTTCATGAACCTATCACAAAACTATTGAAAGATGAAATTCATGATGCAGGATTTTTTTTGCAAAGTTTTTAAAGAATGAAATCATTTTTATTTCAGCTGTGGTGATTTTTATTTCACAAACAGCTTCGAAGACATTATGAACAAAATCTTATAACATTTATACATCGCGAAATCTTCGATGAAATAGTCCAGTTAAGTCATCATTTGTTACAAAAGGATTAGATCCGCAGATGGATATTCCATAAACCTGACTACATTCTCAAATCCTTTATTACGCTGAAGTTTACACAAATTGCTTACTAAGGAGATACCAATTAGGGGAAATTAGTGATAACGGAGAGGTTGAGAATTGTCTGCATTTTTTAAAGTTCATAAAATGGTCTTTGTGACTACAGCGATGGCGTTTATTGTTATGATCAACCCGCGCAAAGCGATAGAATGGGTAATGCAACAGGATCTTGTGATATATTCTCACGAGAAGGAAACAGAATAAACGAAAATACAGTCGCTATAAAATCAGCGGAGCCTTGGTACTTAGACTGTAGTATTCACGTTTTGCATAAAACGTGAAGCTTTAATGAACGCTTATCGGAAGATAACAAAAGCTGGACCTCTGCTAGAATTGAACTACAGTAGTGCAACATGATTTGTACTTTTTTGCCTAATGAGGCAAGTGTCTTATACCTCCATATATGGCATACTGCAAATAAAAATATTAAAGTACACAGTGGTAAGGACAATGATAAGGGTAACGATAAATATATAAAAAAATTCCGAAACCAAATGAAATGGGATTTTGAACTCAAACTCAAATCGCTGTCGTTAATCAACCCGTGGTTCGTTTCCTAGAGAGCAATAACTGGTGATCAACATTTCCTTAAAAACTTGCCAAACATTTCTTTTCTACTTTACGTTTCGTCGCCGTCTAAAGTCCAAGCAAGTGCGATTTACACGGTTAGGATTATCGCCCCAAAACTTGCTCAAGTCTACTTTCAATTCCTCGCATTCAGACATGCTTTCCTTGCCACGCATTAAAATGAGTTTCATTTTAAAGGGAAGATTGACCGTCACATACTTTCTGTTAACTTTTTAAGAAATTCTTCTAGTGCCTTTCAAGGGCACAATTAAAGAGATCCGTAATTTTTTTTTTCTTAAGTCTAATAAGCTCAACCTTGAACAAAGGGGGTTAGTTTCTTAAGAAACTATGGTGATGCGTCAGTGGTGTTAACAAGGTAATTTGATTGTGTCAACCAGGTTGAAATTGTTAATTGGCCACCGTAAGGAGTTAAAGACGGTTGACGTTTCGAGCGTCAGCCCTTCGTCATTCGCTCTGACGAGGGGCTAGCGATTGAAACGTCAGCTTTTTTAACTCTTTACAGTGGCCAATTTACAATTTCGACTCAGTTTGTATAACCAATCCGCATCAAACACTTACGTAAGCACATAAATTGATGCAATTTCCACTGATCCACCAGCGGACTGGTTCTCAGTTTGTTTGAATCACTCGAATGCTTGGATTGACCTGACTCTCATAATTTTTGTCCAGAGTTTTAGTGATTTATTTCCTTCTTTTTCAACTGGGTGAAAAACAAAATGATAGGTCGCTCAGAGCGTGGAGTCAGCTTTTGGCGGCAGTTTTTTTGTCTCAATGGGGATGAAGATTATCTACTCCTAAATGCTGTTTTATGGCATTATCAAGCATAAAAAGGCTTCAAAGCTCCCAATACAGGCTTCAACTATAGGTTATAGTGATAAATTTCGCATATAATTGAGTCCGCTTTTTGTGCTTTGATATTTTTGAGTTGGGGTAAAGTACCAAAACAAAGTTTTCGTCAATTTTCTGCCGGAACATGAACACTCACTCGAAGGGCAAAAACATCATCTGCGCCGTACGTAATAAAAAATGATAAAATAAAACACCATAAAATAAAAGATCTACTAGGTAAGACTATTATAACAATGAAATGGACTCCAGGAACACCTCTAAAGCAGACTTGAACGGCATATCCCATAGACGATCACTGCGATCTATGACTTGGAAAATCTACCATAATTTGCTCCGTTGAAATGCACCAAAAGTGCTCGCAATAAAGTTTTAATCCTCGTTGCTATACATTTTTTAAAGACTGCAATCCCCACCGGCTGTAAAGAAAAAGTAAAGACAGTATAAATAGAATTATTTTTAAGTTGGGGGACAAGTAGGAATTCTACAAATTTGACTCGAAAGCTAATGCAAATTCAGAATAACATCAAAATTCTCCCGTTAAAAGGGGCCTTCTGCCTTACGATCGTCTTAAAATACACACACCAAGTTTATCACAACACAAATTCTAAGGTCTTCAGACTCACCTTAATTGCTTTGGCACTTGTGGGAACATCCGGAAATCAGCTGATGTTAATTTAAATCCCGTGGATTTGCCAATCTCTTAGCTGTTTTTAGGCAGTTTGATCGTAAAAAATCCTTTAATGGGAAGTCGAAGGAAACTCCAGAAGTACCCAGAGCGTTAGAAATGTATGTAGGTATTTTAAGGATGAGCTCAAGCGAGGCTAGTGAGGCTAATTTGAATTTAAACAAAAGAATATCAATCCGGTAGCCATTTATGAAAGTGGTGTATTTCCGAATTACTTTTGGCCTCTTTTTCCAAACGAGGCCTGGTGCTCAACCATTCTTGTGAAAATGAGATTAATTTGCATGTGAATTAAAACTTATCATCATATGAAAGGATGAGCACCAGGACTCGTTTTGAAAATGAGGCCTAGGGTAATTCGGCTATTCCAAGGCCATATGAAGAATTTGAACGCTGAAAGAGTTACTGGGTCCCAGACCTATTCGCGAAAGCACAATTCAAAATGGCCGACATGTAAACAAAGGTAAGATGCATGCATAGCATTACCATCAGTTTGGGCGCTTTTGGGAAACTTGGTTCAACAAATGGGGAGTTCAAGAACTAGAGGTTGATAATATGTTTGACTAAGGCAAATAAACGCCTTTTGGTTTGAGTTTTCGGGATTTTGAAAAAAAAATTACGGGTACGGGTAGGAACACTCCCAAGTCTTGTTTTTTATTATTAATATTTTATTTTACCCCCAGTCTGCATTTTAACCCTGGTCTGCAGTCTGCATTTTACCCCTGGTCTGCAGTCCGCAGTCTTCATTTTACCCTCAGTCTGCATTTTATCCCCGGTCTGCAGTCCGCAGTCTGCAGTCCGCAGTCTTCAGTCCGCAGTCTTCCTTTTACACTGACCGAATCAAAATGGCGCCAGACAGAATGCCCCATTGCTCTGCGAACCCTCCAGCGAACCTTGTGTTGCTTCGTTTCGTTTCGTTTCGTTTCGCAAAATACCATAAGTCGACCGTTATTGGTATTTTGCCAAACAAGGCATCTAGCGAGAACAGTTTTCGTAGAAAGGGAATAATTGGAAAGAGTTCCATATAACCCCATGCATTGATTATGCATCCACTTCTTTGTCTTTCACGACAAAACTTTAAAAACAAAGTCTACTAGTTTGAATGCATAATTAATGTATAGGCTTAGATGGTACTCCTGCCGAATAATTTCTTGTCGCGTCTATAAGCCTGTCTTTGCTTTATCTAGCAAGACAATTTTCGGGAGCAGAGCGTCTAAAGAAATTGTCTGCGAACCTTGTTTCGTTTCGTTTAATTTCGCAAATTACCGTAAGCCGTAAATAAGCCGTTACCATTCCAGTGGCGCCTTCATTCAAGAGAGTAATTAGGAAACGACCTTGTTGGGCAAATCTCGTCAATCTTAAATGTGTGATCGTACATGTAGATGGTTGACCTTAAAGCTTTCTAAGATATCAGGGGAATTCCTGGCACAGGAAATTGATTTTGGGAATTTCTTTCGTCAAGCATGTTGAGTCAGATTCGAGAGATGAAGGTGAGAAATGAAGATCGCTGAACGATCCAACAAACTCCATGTTCTCCCATAACTCTGCACCTTTGTGTAGCACATTTCTTAATACAGTTCGATGATGCTATCTACGGTGCGAGATCCTGCAACCATTTTTTTATGTTCAACTCTCCTCTTCTGGAAATGTTTAATGCTTTACCATCTTACTGAATGAAATGTACTTTTCATAGAAAAAAGAAGCTGTCCGTAGGCTTTCACAGGGCTCTGGAGCTGCTGGTTATCCTCACGATCATGGCTCTGCGTTATCATCACAAGCTCCTAGGCAGCCGCCTCAGTGGAGAAAACGTCCAGGTACAGAGAAGTAATTATTTACGCAAACTGCTTGTTTTGCTTCATAATACAAATTAAAGGTGCATATAAAGAAATAATATTGGTAAATACATATGCCGTATGTATAACTAATGGAAAGATTTCCGTATAACCTCATACCAATCAAAACAAAGCTGTAATCCGGAAAGTAATCTGTTGTTTTGCCTCTATACCTTCTTTTATTCAAGAATTGTATTCATAATGAAGTATGGGTTTACACAGAAATCTTGCCTAACTAATTCTTTCAGTGAACCTCTTAGTGATTACTCTGCGAAAAATGATGGCAATGTTTGATTTACTCAAATTAAAATGCTTCTTATAATTATGTCTTTCCTACCTAGACATGTGCCACTGTGTTTGTATTTGTAGAACCTTTGCAACTTGTCAATCACACATTCTATACACACACTATTTTCTTTTGATGTTCATTGAGATGTGCCAAAGCTAGTGGGTTATGTGGCATATGTCAAGTTAAGGATAAGATGTATGTGCTGCTAGTAACAATATTAGTAAATTTTATGCAAATGGTAATTTTTGATGAGAGAAGACAAGTACTTCAAGTGGAGTAATGAGTAATACTATCATTTGAAGACTTTTGGTTCCAGAGAAGTTGCAAAAATACCCATAGGCAGGGCTCAACACTAACTTTTCAACTTACTAGCCAAGTGGCTGGTGACAACTTAGATGTCACAACAATTTCAGTTTGTTTACTAGCTAAACTGGCCTGAGGAAATTGAAAACCCCCTAGCCACAACTGAATTCCTACTAGTCTGTGGCTAGTTGGCTATCATTAGCATCGAGCCCTGACAGGTGTAACCCATGCACCCCCTCTGGGTGGAGAGGATCTTCCTTTCAGACCTTTCCCCTGCATCTGCCTTTGCAGTTGACACAACCCTTCTTTAGAGTGAGGCAGTGCTACAGCTGCACATATAAATTCAGGTAAAAGATTCAGTCTGTATCAGGGCTGTAATCTTGCAGCACCCGGTAGCCCCTGGCACCTTACTTTTGCTCTTGAGTGACTCAGGAATCTTAGTTTTTTCTTAAAAAACATATGCTGGGCACCCTGGATTCATAGTTCCAGAGCACTGGGCTACCTTCAAATTTTTCCTAGTGCATAGCCTTGCTGTATTTAATTACCTTCTTTAGAACAACAAAAGACAAAAAAGCAGCATCCAGGTGCAGCAGGTCAAAGACCAGCTAGGAGAAGCTATGTTAGTCCACTTGACCGCAATCCTGTCACAAAAAGCGACTCTGAAGCAAAGCAGATCAAACATACCGAAACAGTGAAATTTGGTTTTGGTGCTACACCTGGTTCATTTGCGACTACAGCATCTCAGTCTACAATTGATAAACCTGAAATTTCTGCAGCATCCTCAGCCAAACCATTTTTTAGCGCTGGATTTCCTACATCAGCTTCATGTTTTCAACAAAATGCAGGTTAAGAATTAATTTAATATCTTTCCACTCTTTTATACTGTACTTTAGACAGGGATTCTGGCATTATGCGCGAAAAAAATCAGAATTGTGCGGGATTTTAAGGGAAGATTATGTGTGAAATTATGCACGATGACGTCATCGCTTAAAACCTAAAGTATAACTAATTTCACTTAGAAAACTCAGTTATTGTTTCTTTTTATAAAAAAATGGAATATTATGCATTATTAATAAATGACTCCTTCCAATTAAAGCAATAATATGGCCAAAACAGAAAGCAATTCTTGTAAACGTCCACCATCTTGGAAACTGCCAAACGCTGGAACCTAGGCTGAGCTTCATATTGGTTCCAGGCCCTCCTCTGACATTATTATTAACGCTTTGTTGCTTTTATAAAAACAAAATGGTTTTGTATCCATGTGGTTTTTTTGTTAAATTAAAACGATACTTTGGTATTTTGTACGGCTGTAGAAAAAGGAGAAATACAATACTCAAGCCAGACACCAAGATAGGTAACATATATATTGATTTATTTGACAAATTATGTGGGATTATGCGGAGAATGGCCGATTATGTGGGTTCGCACCAGCGCATAAGGCTAGAATCCCTGTTTAGAGATAATTCAGAGATTGAGGGAGAGAATCCCCTTCCATATATAGATACAAATTTGGAGTGAGTGTAATTTTGAAGAATACAAATTGACACTTGATTCACGTAGATTAATAGAGGTACTGACAGAAGTTAATTTTTGTAGTATTGTATTGGAATTTTTTGTGTGGATTGTGCACACCCTGCAAAATTTGAAGAAAAGAATTGTTTAATGCTACGTTGGGTTATAGATTTATTGAAATTGTAATTGTCTGCAGCAAGAGCTGGTCATGTGGAATATAAAAAAATGATCGTTGTACATTTGTTGTACAGCTTATAAAACTGGAACCTGGTTTTTATGGAAACCTTGATTTAGAGACTACATACTGTACATACATGTTAATGCAAATCTGTGTGATGAAATGTTTTAAGACTGATCTTTTTTCTCTGTATAATTACAATTCAATCTTTAGCAGAAGCTATTACCTCTATCACATCTACCACTGGTAGCGGTTTGGCAACAGGATTTGGCATCAGTCAAACTAATGCAAACGCTTTTGCAGCCTCACCAAGTTCATCTGGTGATGTTTGTGCAGTTGGCACTTTACCAGCACCATCATTTTTTGCACAATCACAAACTTCAAACCCTTTCTTCAGCTCAGGCTTTCAAATGAACAGTTCATTGACTTTGGATTCATCCACATCAAATGCCAGCTTGGGTGTACTTTCCAACCCTGTTTCGGCTGTCAAGGGGCAATCATCTGGTAACTTGTCATTCTGTGGTTTTAGAAATGTGGTACCTTCTCCTTTTACAAAAGTCTCATCAAGTAATGTTTTCGGTGCTAAAACTGAAAGTGAAACAGTGAAAAGCAGTGTTTCAACTTCTTTGACTTTTGGAAAATCAGCCACACCATCACTCCAGGTTAAATCCACTGCAGACTCAAAACCTCTATTTGCAGGAACATCACAGTCCACTTCAAATACATTTGGTGTTGCTAAGACAGTTAAACCACAGACAAGAATTTTTGGACATTCTTTAACAGCAGTGAAAGGACAACAGCTAGCAAAGGAAAACAAAGAGCAAGTTGCAGAAGATAAATTGCAAAATGTGGATATTTCCAATCTGACAACATTGGTTATCAAGGGCATTCCTGAATCTTACAACAAGAATGCAGTGTTGAAGAGATTCTATTCACCATTTGGAGAGGTTTCAAAGGTGCGGTGCAACATAGTCAAAAGGAGTGCAACTGTGACATTTAAAACTCATGTAAGTATAAGGTACAGTTTAAATCACAGAGTTGTAAAGAAGAACCAGTAGACAGCCAAATGACAAGCTACAATGAGTGGAAAAAGTGGTTGGCATACCTCCTCCCTTTAGTAGGTGATTGACAACTATGCACTCTACATAATGAACAGAGATCATTTTATTCTGACTTCTCTGATAACTTCCTTAGAAGTCTTTTTCTTTCCTTCCCCCCCCCCCCTCCTTCCAAAAAAAACTCAAGAAGTACACTGTAGTGGAGCCTGGGGGAAACTTTCCCACTTATTGTAGTCTGTGCTCTTTAGCTAGCTCCTTTAGTCTTAGTGCCAAATCAAGGTAAACAAGATGTACAGGTGCCAGTCCATTTAGCCAATTTCTCAATCATGTCCCATTTGTCTGTAGTAATTCTACAGTCACCATCTCAGACAGGAAATTATTTATTTAGCTTTGCCTAATTAGAATACAATTTGTACACAAAAGAATAATAAATTATTAGGCAGGGAGACCACTACAGCTCAACCAATTACAGCGAGTCCCTCGTTAATTATTTATATATTAAATAATACTTAATAGCTACATCAACCAGAATAAAAAGTGTTTCCAGTTTATTATTCACATCTTAAAACTTTTCTCAAACATATTTTACAAAATACTAGGAGTGGAATCATGACAAGTTGTTGAATGTTGAGGTATACAAATATTCACTTGATCATTTGGCTGTGCACAGCATTTTGAAACAGGAAACATTTTCTTTCCAAAACAATGCAAAACAAGGGAAGCTGACTGCATTGAATAACAGAGCCAAAAAGGTGCTAAAGACAAACCCTTATTTTGGCATGTAATGTGGAAACTGTGCTGAGGTTTGGCATGTGCATTGGCCATGTAACTTTGAGCTGTATTTTAGTTGTAATTGCTAGTCAAAAATTGTGCAACTATTGAAATACCTTTGAAGAAATTTGTACAGCAGTCACTTTCCAGCTTCAGAGAGCAATTGAGTGTGCACTGTGATTTAGCAGTAACAGGTTTAGGCATGTAAGTCAAATCCACATTCAAAACTTTCATACTTGTAGTAAAGATTCGTGCAAACTTTACATAGTGCATGAGACTTTCTAATGGAATGTTACCAGTTTCGCATGTAATCTGACAAAACAACATGGTTTTCTTTGATGGTGCTTTAATCAAAAACCAGCAACAGATGATTTTGCTTATTTCAACTAGAACTAAGAAATACATGGATAAATGACATAATATTATTTTCCTTTTTACTTAATCATCAGGAATCAGCAGAGTTGGCAAAGAAAAGAGGCAGAATTCTGAGGTCTGGTCTACTGCCTGTGATAATTTTTTGGAAGCTGCAACGAAGTCGCAGAAGGACAACATCAGGTACAGTGAACAGTCATGTGCAACCTGTGTCATTTTACAGACCTTCAGCTTGAATTTGTTGTTTTACTGTTACTGATGTCTGCACTGTATGATGCAGTATGGCTATTTGAACAAGTCTAAATATCTCCAAAGACAATATGTGAAATTTGTACTTGTACATGCAAGTGTTATGAGGGGAATGATATAGCCCTGGTCATGATTAGGAGCTGGTAGGGGGTGGAAACCTGCCACCTTTCAGACCATTTACTCTGGCTGCTTTCTAAATTATGATCAAACACAGAAAATAAGACTTTTTTTAAGTCAACAATAAGTTTACATGTAAAACCAGTAATATTATTAATATATGTGGATTTGTGGACATTGTTAACTTTTTTTTTTAATTGTACATAATAAAGGTAATACATAGGCATGTTTTTCATAATGTTAATGTTTTTATTACAAAATATCAATCAAAGAGGATATTGATGTAAATATTATCCATTGACAGAGAGTGAGCAGCAAACCCCACAGAGTCCAGATGTTTACATGTCACCTGACAAAAGATATTCCAGTTCGGAGAAAATTAAGAAGATTCTTACTCAGGTATTGTGTGGTAAATAAGTTTAATTGTATACAAGCTGTAGGTGTCATTTTGTAGTTAAAAAAAAATGTTGTTTAAGTTCATAAGCCATCAACATAAATCTGTTATTTCTGTAACATAGACTGCACCTTCAGAAAAACAAACTCAACAAAGAATCAAGACATTAGAAGTTCTGAGGGACATTGAAGAATGTACGTATTATCTAAAGTTAAACTGTGTACATCTACCCTGTACAATGCACTGTATGTCGATGTGCAATTCATCTCACTGCACCATGAATGGCATTACTGCAAGTCCCAGCTTAAGATAATCAGGTCATATTAAGATTGTATTTTGTCAACTTTTGATCAACCAATCACAATAAGATTCCAAACAGGTAAGCAAACCTCTCCACTACCATTTCATGTTGCGGTTCTGTTTGAGGTCTCTTATGTCTGATGAGATTTTCCATGAATATTTTTACTGTTCAGGGTTTTTTTTTGAATCAACAGATAACTATTAATGATGTTGATAGAGTACTCAGTACTTTTTCTGATTAATTAAGACTTGATGTTTTTTTTTACAGATTTGAAGTCAATTCCAGAAAGTGAGAGTGCAGGAGAAAAGCTTCAAGTTTTAGAGGAAATTGACAGAAAACTAAGAGTAGGTATGATTAGTAACAGCTACATGCTTTAACCCATATGTATGTGCTTAACTTGTCAGTTAGTCAATCATTTAAACATGTAAACAACAGACTGATTGATCAATCAGTCTGTCAATCAATTAATTTGTCAATCAATCTGCCAATCAATTAATCTGCCAATCAATTTATCTGCCAATCAATCTGTCAATCAATTAATCTGTCAATAAGTCACTGTCAATCAATAAATCAATTTGTCAATTTGTCAATCAACCTCATCACCAGTTGCAGCTAAATTTGTTTAATTTCCCTTCATTAATTTTCTTTCAGTGTTCAAAAGGTCATCTGACATAAGTTCTGCTAAAGCTGTGGTTGGAACTTGCAAGGACATGTGTCCTGAGAAGGTAAACCATTTGTACACTGTAATCTGCTCTCTTATACAGAGCTTGGGCTCGAGTCACATAGAGTGAGATGAGACAAAAATGTAGTGCTTGTCTCTTTCACAAATTATTTTCAACCTGAAAGCAGCTTATTTTGTATGTTTTAGGAAAGGTACATGAGAGAACATCAAAGAAGACTTAGGGTGTTTGAGGCTGTGTCTGGAACAGGCAGCTTTGTAAGTTCACATTCACTCTGTTTGTTATTTGTAAACAGGCTGAACCACAAATATTGCTTTAAATTGCCTTATACCTTTGACACCAAAGTGGGATGAGTATCTACATGTAATTTCTCCTAACAATATCACCTCTGAATCAAATATTAAGGTCAGGAGAAGAAAGGAAATGATCACCAGCTGAAGGAACTCTTGATTGTTGAACAAATTCCCTCGGTCACCACCATAGTAAATTTAGAGAGAACAGTATGGAGAATATGCAGACTGGTGTTAGGGTGTTAAAGGGTTTTAGAATTTCTTTCTGCTAAGGATAAAAAGAGGAGACTTGCAAAATAATTTATTCCAAAAATGGTGCGAAAGATATCGAAAAATTATCTTAAAATCAGTTATTTCTGAGAATTTGTGTTGAAAAATAATGAGATGATAACAGTTGTGTTAATAACATTTCAAGATAAAAGGAAGAGGTCAAAGTCTTTTCAACTGGTGAGAGTTTGTAAGATCTTTAATAACAAACAAACAAAACGGCGAGGAAAGATTTAAGGGCCACGAGTTTATCTGTGTTTTTACGACTGTCAAATGTAAGCCTCTTTAAACAAAGCCTGTATTTACTTACTTACGTTGTCTGAATTAGTGTCGGGGAAGAATCGATAGTAAAAGGGAAAATAAAGGTTTGATATACTCTCAGTAATGGCTTGATCACGTGAGACGCGGTGGTTAGTGCATTCAACTCCAGATCGAGTGGCCCGGGCTCAAGCCCTGGCTGGGAACATTGTGTTGTGTTCCTAGGCAAGATACTTTACTCTCACAGTAGCTCTCTTCACCCAGGTGTTTAAATGGGTACCGGCAAATTTAATGCTGGGGGGTAACGCCGCGATGGACTCGCATCCCATTCAGGGGGGGAGTAGAAATACTCCTAGTCGCTTCCTGCTGTGGAAAGCGGAGTTAAACGCCGGCCTGATGGGTCACTTGGCTCGTAAACAGACTTTACCTTTCAATGGCTTGATCACTGATAAACATTGGGAAAATTATGGCATGTAAATTTCTGAGAATCACAGGGTAGCGTCGCCTAGCTGTGGAAAGATAGCTCGTACATAGAGCCCCAAAACGAACGCACAAGCACCACGTGTAACAATCCCGAGTGTTTCATTTTATAAGATACAAAAATGGAACGTAGCCAGGTAGCGATAAACAAGGTAGTTGATGAATACTTGGTGTGATTGCGATAGCAAATGTGGTAGAATTATGTGGTTCGAACTAGAAGGTAGCAGAAAACGAAACGAAGCTAATCGATCGACTTACAAAGGATGACAGAGCACAATGATCTATTTTTTAAATCAACTGAACTAGTAATGAAGGAAACGATAAACTAAATTGAGCGTAAAACAATATAGGTAACTTACTTTGGTAGAGCTCCTAGCGTACTTGAAACGCGCGGGTAGCGGAGTAGACAAAAACAATTCTGCGGTAGCGGAGCGCACGACCTTTCGACAGCTATCGAAAGTCGTTCTTTTTCTTGTCGCAAGTCCGTAATATGAGCGAATGACTGACACAAATTACATAACGATTTCACACCAATTACAGTAATCGACAAAAATAAACCGTGACGTAGATTAACATTAACTAAGCATAAAAATAGGCAGTTCAGCAATAATCTAAGGTACAAAGGAAATAACTAACGTTTCAAAACTAACTTGGTATACATATAGGTTTGTCTTAAAAAATTTACCTGTGGGCTGGATTCCAACGAAAAAACGATAAAGTTGTCGGAACGCGTTGTTGAAGCTTAGATAATATTCATCAAAAGTGTACAAACTTTGAATTCTGTTACATGTAGGAGGTTCTTAATTTCGTTTTTCAGCGTAAGCCTGCAATTGTCATTGATTGTAACTTGTCTGACTGACTGACTGACTGACTGACAGATTGTTATTATTAATCTTGTTATGTACTAAAGGATGAAAATCCTCAAGTCGATCACACTTGTGCTGTTAAGGAATATGACAGATCTGCTGCTGATAAGGTAAAGTGTATCCTTTATTCCCTTTTTTGTATATTTGTTTTTATTTTTTTAAGTCAGTTTAGTATTTTTCTGGTATTATTAAGAGGGTTTAAACGGAAAAAAATTGAAAAAAAAGTTTCTGTCTTGCACAAACCATTGACAAAAAGTTGTTGAAGAACAGTACTGATTAAATGTAAGTTCACAGTCTTAACTTGAAACTGGATCCTCTTTCAAGAATCGAGACGCTCGAAGAACTTGAGGCAATCGAGGAAGTGGATTCGAGGGACAAGAATCGAGGATGGAGTCTCAAGGGACTGTCAACTTGCATTTGAGCGGTATTGCACTTTGATTGTCCAACAAACGCGGCTTGTATGGAAGTCAGGCTTTGTTTACATATCATTTTCTTTTTGTTTAGGAAGAACCATTACCTCATGAGCTCCGCCCTGTACCAGTCCTTAGAATGACCATGGATTACTTGGCCACAAACATCATGAATCTGTGCGAAGGAAGGGAAGGAGAATGGTTTGATTTTCTCTGGAACAGAACGAGGGGAATCAGGAAGGTATTGTGGTAAAGTAAAAGAGTAGATTGACTTGAAAGTCAGGTTTTTAAAGTAAGTTTCATCTCCTAATTCACAACCTGCAAGGTGGCTGCCATGAGTGTCAGACCGCTGACCACTTAAAGGTTCATATGCCAGAGTCAACCCATTGTAACACTAGAGTGATAAATCTTTATAATGTTCCAGTCAATAATTTGAAACATGACAGGTATGTACAAGTCACCGACCGTAAGATGGGGCCACTCCTGGCCTGTAAATCACTCATTGTTTGGCCTTGACATTGGAAAAACTGGCGTCGATATTTTCTCGCTCCTACTTTGAATTAAACGGATTTCAAAGACGGACATACAACGTTCAAGGACAATGCGATGATAATTTTGCACCAAACGGGGGCTGTATACATTATGCTTCTAATCCCTTTGACAGCGTGCGTAACCAAGCTTTTACGACCAATTTGCCGCCAAGGATATTCAAATTTACCGTGAACATCACAATTCTTTTGTAGTCTTCAGGATGATAGAGGAAGTTAAAAAAATTCGATTCTGTTTTGGTCTTTGTGTTGTATTCTAACGACTGACTTTGTTGAATAATCAGAAAGGTTTGCATGGTGGTTTTTTGCACAACTATACCGTTCATTTCCCTCTTTTTGTTTTAGGATATTACCCAACAGCACTTGTGTGACCCTGATTGCGTCGATCTTGTCGAGAAAACAGCCAGGTACTTTAACGTTTGTATTTAAATACCGTGATTTCTAGATCTGGATATTTGACGCTGAAATTTCTTGAAATGTTTGCTTTCCTGGGAACATTTTTTTTTTCAGTCTTTTGCTTTATTTAGCAGATTTCGTGTCTCCCTTACACAATCATTATTTGAGAACGCATTTTTGATGAGTCTCTTTAAAAAAAACCAAACTTGTGTCATCGGACAATCACATTAAAGCTACTGTAAATGCCTCAATGAGCCAATGGGAACTCAACATTCTGAGAATTAAGCTACCTCGAGTGCGAGAAAATGTGGATGGGCATGTTGCATTTGGTCTTGATTTTGCAGTAATGTTGCTGGGTCAGGCCAGGCTTCAAACCCAGGCCTCAAACCCAGACCTCCTGGTGTCCCATAGTACTATGCTGTCATTTTGCTTGGACGATTAGAAGCGTATTGGTTGGAGTCTTGACTCATGTCGTTACAACTTCTGACTAACCATCCAAATGTATTTCATTCAAGATTGCGTACGGGTTCTTTTTTCAACTATTTATGATTGTTTGAGTTTATTTTAACAGGTTTCATATATTTTGCGCACACTTTCTGTGTGAGGCAGACATGAATTCCTTTGATGCAAAAATCAATACTGAGAATTTGACCAAATGCCTGCAAACTTTGAAACAGTTTTACGGAGATCTCCTCATAGACAAGGTAAAGGAAACATTTTACTGTGATATTAAACACAAATTGAGAACTGCATATTCTAGAGGGGCGGTTTTGAAGAAACCGTTCAACTAGTAGTGTTGTTGGTTTGTATACGCTTCGCATGCAGTTCCAAAGAAATTTTCTTATTAGCTGAGATGCGCCATAGTTTCCTTATGCGACAAGATCAGTCTTGGGTTTAATGATTTGGATATATCAACAAAGTTGAAATGGTAAATTGGCCACCGTAACGATTACAAAAGCTGACGTTTCGAGCGTTAGCCCTTCGTCGGAGCTCCGACGAAGGGCTAACGTTCGAAACTTCAGCTTTTGTAATCGTTACGGTGGCCAATTTACCATTTCAACTTTGTTGATATATCGAAATTATTTCATTACCCCCACCGACGCAGCCCCTAACAGTTTCTTTAGAAAGTATCAGCCTTTAGTCTTGAGTTTAAGTACATTACGCACACCAGAACAGTACGATTCTGAGCTGTCCATCATCAAGAGCATATTCAAAATTGATAGAGAAGTGGTATGAAATAATTATCTGGAATAGCTTTGTTCATCTTTTTGATGTGTTTTCGATGTCTTTTTCTGCAACCAAATCTGTACGTGATGAATTTTACTATTCTGCTGGTTTCCTTTAAGGGAGTTACATGCCCGCAAGAAGCGGAGTTTAGAGCTTATGACATTTTGCTGAATTTGAATGAGGGAGACATTCTTGGGTAAGGTGTTACCTGCAGAGTTCTTATGGCGAGTATTGAGTATCATACGCCAATAAGAAATCTTTTCTTATTTTTTTTTTTTTGGAACTTTCATTTCGTGCAGCCTCTGGTGTACTTGTAAACCAGTATAAGTATCGCAACAGAGTGTAATACGACACAGTTTAACGCATTACAACGAGACACAGCCTAATGCAACGCAATGTTAACCCCTTTAATGCAGATACGATGCAGTGCAACAGCTTTACAACAACAACAGTGAAACGCAAGACAGCGCTGCGTAGCTCTTTTTGGTGCAACTGCATGTGCGCAACCGCAAATTCTGCGAGATTTCCCAAGAGATGACGAATATTTTAGACATGTTGCATTAGTGTATTTATTGATATTTCCTCTCCTTTAGGAAGGTGATGACATTCCGAAGTGAGGTTCAACAGTCACCTGAAGTGAGATTTGCTATGGCCGTTTACCATGCTCTGAATAACAACAACTTTGTCAGATTCTTTCGTCTTCTCAGGTATGTAAATCCTTTATTTACGTTCTACTCACATGGACTTAAAGGAGAAATGCTTTTATCTGAAAATTTTCCGTACTTGAAGTGTACCCCGGTTTCTTAAACTTTTTTTTAAACGTACTGGGGTGCCTGTTGGAATGTGCATGCTATCATTTATCGAAGATTACGTCACATCCTTACGTGATCACTCGACCAGTTACATTATTTTTCCCTGGCACTGAAGAATAGGAGTGTGATTCACCAACTGCATTATCTCAAACATCCGTTGATGCTTTTATCACCCCAGACCTTTGAGGGTGCGAGATACAGACTGAGATCGAACGCCCTAAAATAGACTTTGATTTAATTATCAAAGATAAAGCTGAGAATTCCCTTGAGACCTAAAATTGGTAAACAAATATACAAACCAAAGTAGTCTTTTTTTTTACGAGAGCATGTCTCTTTTTCTTATAGAAATGCAAATTATCTCAGCGCTTGCCTACTGCACCGATACTTCACACAGGTATAATTTCATAAAGACGATGTTCTATTTTCCTGTCACATTTCCGTACACCACGCTAGACTTGCAGGATTTCAATGTTACTCATTGGGCAGTTAGCACCTGTAGGTATGAGTTGGAAATTTAGTCTGCTCACTCACTTCATCTTTGATGTTTATGTGTGTTTACCTGTCGGCTTTACTTCCCTCTACGTTAATTTTTTTTTTACCTAAAATATTGGGGGAGGGGGGGCTCGTTCCCCTCCCCCCTCCCCCTAGACCTGCCACTACAACTTTCCACTGATGAAAGCTGAATAAACATATGCCTATTTACACCTCGTCAGCAGAAAGGGCTGCTAATTAGTGAGCATATAAAAAGACCTCTTTTTGCAAGGATTGGATCACCCCTGATGACCATGAAAAGTTAGCTGATGAAACGTTAGGTCTATGAATTATAATACCCTGGTTACATTCATTAAATTCCCAAACTAGAGTAGCATCAAACCATGTCTGATTGTCCACATGATTGCCTAGTGAACTTTAATTTATCAGAGTGTATATAGAGTATAGAGAGTATATACCATTTATTTCAGGTTCGCAGCAAAGCTGTTCAGACGTTAAACCACTCACTGAGTGTCCGAAACAGAATCACATTTTTCCAGTTCAAAGAACTTGTAGACATTTTGGCATTTGAGAATGAGTCTGAGGTAACGCAATTTTTGAGGAAAATAATTAGTTTTTCTTTCTTTCTTTCTTTCTTTAGATTCATCAGCGAGTGTTTGCTACGCGTTTTCTCTATGGCTATTTAAAATAAGCAAAAGTTTTGTTTAAAAGTATTTAACAATACTAAGCAAAAGAATATTGCTTTTTAGCTCTCTTCTATGCAAAACCAACGTTATTAAAGTTTAACTTTTGCTAGCATTTCGTCACTGAAAAGTCAGAAGGTAGCAAATACCCAAATCTAGGTACATCAGTCCTTCTTTTTATAAAATTCAAAACCTTTGCAAGATATCAGAAGTCTTCTAAATGTTCTTCTTTGCCGTAAAGGCCTTCTAAGTTCTGCCTTTTTTAAATTTTCTCTGTGAAGACTATTTTCAGCAAAAAGTGCGCTTCTAGGTATGTAGGTGTACAAGACATGAAACTTTGCAACCCAAACATTTCTGAAGTGCGTTTTTTGCATTATTTCACTTTTAGTTTATTCTGACACCATAATTTTCGCATGTATGGCTGACCCATTTTTTTCTTTGGAATTAACAAAGCGTTTACAATTTTACGAAAGAAGTTCTACATGTAGCAAATACCCATTTTAGGTAGCCAACAACCCACTTCTAAGTAGCAAATACCCACTTTGCCAAAAATATGGCACATTTTTGCTTATAAAACTTGATTAAAGCGGAATTCTAGTAATTAGTTTGCATAGATCAAAAAAGCCATGTGAAAGCGAACATGGAAAATAGTTGAAACACTTTTAAAAACTGTTATTATTTGCATAAAAGCACCAGTACGATGACTTAGCGACATTAACTTAAAAAAAAAAAACAAAAAAAAACATGCAGAGCAATATTGACAGTCAATATCATATCCCTGCCTGATGTACTAATTCAATTTACAAAATAGAGCTTTTTTAGACAATTTTTTGCTGATAACGTGGAAATTGGGTTAGGGTTTTAGGGTTAGGGTAAGGATTAGGAGCAAAATTCTACATCTGGCAATTTCCCATTTTATGTAGGTTATCACATACGAGGAAAAATTACTGAGTGTCGATTGGCTGAGGTAGAGGGTCTTTTTTTCTTAATTACAAGGAGACTTTTGGTAATCAAGGGGGCATGATTACTTGATCCTCATTGGTTTAAAGTTGCTTAGCAACGAGGTTCTTGCTAAGATCTGTTGCCAATGAAAATTTTCTGCAACAATGGCTTCCCGTTTTGTTGAAGCCGACAAAGAGTTTATTGAGGAACTAAAAGACACAAGTGAGCACAAAAATATCAAAAAAAAACTACGGACTACTGGACTAACATTTTCCAACAATGGACAAGACGAGAGGAAAAAATGAGCAATGTCGCGGCATTGTACTGGCTTCCTAATAGGATAACTTCACGCGTGAATGGGATTCCCGCGATAATTTTGCCCTTTATATGATAAACAAGTAATTGCAAGTGCCCTCGGGCAGTTAAGGATTAATTTCAGTTGTATTTTGAAAGTTTGAAAATGCGCGTGAAATTAATGGTTAATTGCCCTCTGGCCCATGCGATTACATATACATATTCCTATTGACAGCTCGCATACAAGTTTGAGCGTGCGTGTTGATCCTCCTTAAAGCTCTATGACAATGGCGATTTTAGCCGCAATTTCAATGACGGTTTGTGAGGTTTAAAAAGCAATATAAATATTTTCAAAAGCAAGTGGATATTAGTCAAAGGTTAATGGGCATAATAGAAAGACAACAATAGATAAAGTATTAAGTATTCTATTGTTATCTCTGCATTGGATCATTTAGAATAAAACATTACAATTTAGGAAGGGGGTTATGCGATATCGCTCTATCATGACGACAAAAATTGCACTAGAGTTAACTTAAAAACATGAAAAAATATTTAACTGCAAACATGTAATTGTTCAATAGACACAAAAGGAAACAACGAAATTAGTGGTTAATAAAGTGTATTAATCTAATATGTATTTCACGGGCTTAGTGACTTCACCCAAAACTTTTTGAAAACGTCATGAAACTTCCACAAAATCTCAACTGGAACCCTACTTAAAAAGACAATATATTGCAGGTTCATGACAACGAGTCTCACAATAAACTCTTTTAATTCCAGATATAAGCTTTATCACTTACAGCTAAGTTTTTAAATGACAAATTTTACTTTATGAAAACTTCAACTTTATAACAGTTCGTAACAAGACCAAGACAAGTTAAATCTTTTTCATAGAATTCGATGTTCTACACACATCAGTCACCAAGACAAATTCTATGACTCTTAAAGCCGATTTCCACGATGCGATTGTAGTATGTGACTTGATGCATGCGACCCGAATCCTACCATATAAACGGTAATTCAACAGGTCGTACACGACCCTACGACTTGTCGTTCGAACCTTCACACAAAAAGAAATCGCATTGTGTAAATCGGCCTTTAAGGGAATATTGACTTACTTGGCATAAAACGATTAACCATAAAATTATTGGCCATCGGTTAAAGAAAATAACATTAACAATATAGGACTCACTTATGTTGTGACCCTGAATACATAAAGAAACCAAATGATCAATGTCAACTAATGTTCAAATGTAATGCAGGAGCCACAAGATCAAACTACTACTTTCTCTTCATCTTTTGACGTTTGACTTTTCGTACCTTGTCCGCCAAACGTTTTTGCTTGAAAAGAAGTTCTTCATCGTCGGTTTTGAAGACCAACCCGATCTTCCATGCTTTCTCATCATCCATCACCCGTTCCCAAACGACCTCTCTTTTTACTGCATTGTTTTCGATCATATCCTGCGTTAACGATATGAGATGGTCTGTTTGTTCATAGATGAACTCAGTCCATGATGACTTTGTAGATTCTGATGCGATGGATGGAGCTCTTGAAGACATAAACCATTCGATCTTCTGTTCAGGAGACTGAACTTCAATTGGTGGTTCTAAGTTTTTGGTAAATTCTGATCGAAGCCTTTTCACTTTCAACACAATTGCCTTCATGGAGTGTGTTTCCAACAGGTTGGAAGCACCAAGTGTATCTCTGACGATGTTTTCTGTTATGTTGCCAGTCTCAATGTCAGACTTGAATAAATCTTGAACTTTGAGGTCTCTTCCTCGGTCCACTCGACATGAGTTTCTGACACCTAAAAGAAATCAAAATTTGTATGTCAATTGTTATTCAAGTTACTAGGATTGATATGCATTATAAGAGTATTTACCTCTGTCTTTGCGTAGTTCATGGTGATAAATTTTCTGACTACACGACCCCCAATATCTGTTTCTCTAACTTTGTCATTGATGCGATAATATTGAGCTTGTGTTTGAGGTTTGTGCTGTGCAAGGGCAGCCAGTTGTTCTTGATCTTCAGGCAAATGGACATGCACTCCTGATGCCAGAGATTTTCTTATCAAGGTTGCGGAGATGCGACCGTGAAACTTCACACCCTCCCTTTGAAATGAACAAGTCAGACACGTAGATACTTGCGATGAAGTGAGTTTAACGCCATTGGTTGAAACGAACATGCTATCTGTGGCATCTTTGACATACTTAGGCCTCACCCGTGAGATATACGTGTTCACCAGATTGTAAACATCAGCATAAAACCATACAATGGCTGCCCCATAAACACCTCCTGTCTTGTGATTCTTAAGTGATACGCAGTATCTCTCTCCATCTTCTTCCCCAGTGTACAGTTTAGCATCTTTGAATTCCTCCACTGTTATATTTGCTGCAATACCACTTCTCCCGGAGTTGTCAATTCTCAATCTTGTCATTAACCAATCCCTTACTTCACAAAAGGTCTGATCGTTGACCAGCACAGGTTCTCCACAATCTTTGCTTTTCTCCATAGCTTTTCCAAGCGCTTTAATTGTGGTTATTCGCTGTTGTCCATTTGACACTTTATATAGATCTTTGCTGGAAAGGAGTTTTGTAAAGTCCATGTCATGTTTCTCTAATTTCCTTTTCAGCACCTTCTTTATTTGAGCAGATGACCACGAAGTTAAAAGATATCTCTTTACATGAAGTGTGTCTAATCTTTCTCTTTCTCTTCTTGCACAAGGAATTTAAGGAATAGCCTAAGGCTCATTAGGTATGATCTAATGGTTCCAGGTTGATACTTGTCATTTGTCATTCCTTGTCATTCCTTGTCATTCCTCAACATTACCACTCCGTCATGCCCTTCGACAGTAACAAGATCTATTTCATTTGCTGCTTGAGGGAAATCTTCTGAAAGAACTTTCATGATGCGTTTTACCAGTGACTTGTACTGACCAGCCACTTTTGCGCAGCGATATCCCCCGTCTACGTCTATCAACGAGGAATGAAACTCGTTAAGCAGTGGGCTGTCATCACTGCTATCATTTTCTTCAAAACTGACATCATCTTCTATCTCTTCAAGACAGTCGTCATTATCATCATCATCATCGCTATCGTATACTGATGATTCATCATCATTCATAACTTCCCTAGGCACTTTACCTTGTGAAAGATTGCTTTGGGAGTCAGCATTACCAGTGTTCTTTTTTCTTCCAATCTGGCTCTATACAAAGAAAATCTAGATTATCTACGTTGTCCACGAGATCAGTTAAAATGTCATCCCTTTCTTGCAACGAGCAGTCATCTGACAAGCTTCCAGTGCTACACTCTGATTCGGAATCCAGGGAAGGGTGATAGTTTGGGTCTAAACCTTCCTCATCTTCACTGTCGGAGATAACTATTTCCATGGATTTGGTATTGCCAGCCTTCACAGGTGGTTGAGGTGGTTGGATTACCCGGTCAGCATTTTTGCGGTTGTTAAACTCTTCAGATAGCTCGGCATCGCTTTCATACTGGTAGGACATCATAGACACTAACTGTTTAAAGCTTCGCTTCTTGCCCTCCTCATTTCTTTTCCACATGTTATCCACAAGTTGATCATACTCCAAATTGCTGTCATGGTCATCATGTGTATCTCCTACCTTAGATTCCACTTGATCCATTACTTTTTCATACTCCAAATTACTATCATGATCATTGCGTGTATCTCCCCTTTCTTCATTATGTAGCTTGCGTTCCACTTCATCAACTTGCTGATCATACTCCAATTCGCTGTCATCACCATTGTAGGTCTCTCTAACCTTTGATTCACTACTTTCTTCATTATATAGCTTGTGCTCCTCTGCTTTACTATTGGAGGAAGTCGGTGTGGGGTGCCAAGGGTTACTCACGTTTCTGTTGATAGTTGCTTCTCCTTCAGGATTTTCCAATAATTAATCATCCGAGTCATTTCCAATCTCTTCCCTAGCTTCGATTCTATTCACCAAACTAGGCTCATTTTCCTTGTCACCCTTGTAAAATTTCACTCTTTTTGTGGCCTATCCACGTACAGGTGATTTTGCTTCGATTTTTCTCTTAAAATGATGAAAAAATAATAAAATAATCAACAGTTTTTGACGTGGAGAAACACTTAGCTAGAAGCTAGTTTACAGGTTTTTCACCAAACAACTGAAACAAATAAATCAAATTGAAAATAACATTATTAAAATCCCAACTGGCCAAAGGCAAACCAGTTGGCTATATTACAAGCATGGCCGAGGATTTGAAACCGTGAAACCTCATACCTACCGTGAAACAAATCCAGGTAGTGGCCAGGGCGGGACTTGAACCCGGGAGCAGCGGATCGCAAGTCCGACACGCTGACCACTCGACCACGCTGCCTTCTCTTTTTAGGACCATCTTTAGTTGTGGTGCTCTTTGCTTTGGATTTCTTTCTCTGGGCAATGTGATCTCGTACCTCGTGAAGCCCAATTCTCAGAGCAGATTTAAACGCATCTAAGTATTGGTTTGAGTTGGGATTAAGCTTGTGGATATTTGCCTGTAAATGATGATGAAGTTGAATGACACCTTTCTTTGAATGCTTGCATGGAGATAACGGACAAAACTTTATCTTCCTATGAGGCGCTTTCTTGTTTCCATTTATATAATTATACATCTACCTGACGGAAAATCTTATTCACTTTTTGTACATCCTTCTGATGACGGGATAAATTTATTACTGACTTCCCACATCTCGAACACACTTTAGACTCCCTAGACTTTTTGCTTATTTCAGAACCCTCCATGGTTACTATAATACAAACAAATAGAAACAGATCTCAATGATAGAATTGACAGTGATTAACACAGCATAACAGATGATTAGAATGATTTGACAGTGGTCAACACAGCACAACAGATGTTTAGAATGATTTGACAGTGATTAACACAGCATAACAGTTGATTAGAATGATTTGACAGTGATCAACACAGCATAAGAGATGATTGCAATGATTTGAGAGGGATTGAAATAGCATAAGAGATGATCACAATAAATAATAGCATCGAAAATAACTTACCCAAAGTCCTCAAAGATCGATCGATGTTTTGTTGCTATCAAGGGAATTTCTTTTTATAAAAAGCAATTTTATTTTTTAAGTAAGAGCTTTCACCCACTTCATTGTTAGAACAAAGCAGAAAAAATGCATTCTAGGATTTAGTGGAAACGTTTTCTTGGCGTCTCTGTGAATGCTTGTTTCAGCAGAAATTAGTTTGCTCGTTGAGCAAATTTGCTTGTCATAATTATAGCATTTAAGAGTTTATTCTAAGGAAGCGATCAGATGTTAAAAAATGATGTTCTTGTGAGGGAGTGTATGTTAAAAGTCATTTGCTTTTATCACCTGAGTTGATACAGATAATGTCAATTGGCCACCGCAAAGTTCATTTTGTTTCCAAAGCTGCCGTTTCAAGCGTTAGTTAAAAAAGTAGTTTTCTGCTTTTGGGTATGAAGAAACTAGACTAAATCAGTTATCCCAGAATGTCAAACAAAATTATCGCTATCAAAGAGATCTTTTTCTCTTTCCAGGCTTCCCAGTTTTGCACCTTCCACGGTCTGAGAGTGACAGAGAGTTCCGTGATCTTTGCTCGACCTTCATTCCTTGAACCGAAGTCCAGGCTCCCCGCAAAGAGAGCCTGGAAGCTAATCGAATCCAAACGAAGCTGCTCCATCGGTGAGGTACGTATATGTTGGGACTGGGCCTAAGGGTGTCTTCAGTCATCATTGTTTGTACTGACTCCGATCCCGGAGACCCAAGGGTGGGGAAATTGACATTTGGAAACCTGAAAATGTCAAATCTCCCGTGGGTTGCCCGGCCCCACCCATCCTGGGGCAAACCATTGATAGGTGCATGAGGCAATTGATATTTCAAGCATGGGAGAAGCTGCTTTGCAAAGCCACATGATCAGCAAGAAACACAAGAAACTACCGTGCCCGGTATGGACAAATTACGTACGTTATCTACACAAAACACATGCAAGTTGTGGGGATGCCTTGTTTGAAGTTAAAGCCAACATTTTCCTGTCAGTTGCTACTGAAGTGGCCCATTTTCTTAACCGATATCAGACAGACATGCCAATGTTGCCATTCCTGGAAACAGATATGTTTCAACTGATTTTCAATCTTTTGGAAAGATTTGTGAAAGAAGAAGCCTAGGCTGAAGTGATATCAACAGCTAAGCTGGTCCAGCTAGTTTAACGAAAAGGAAAGCTACCCTTGAGGAACTGGATAACTTAAAAAAAGTAAAGAAAAGGACTAAAGCTAACATTGAAGCCTTGTTAAAGTCTGCTGACCAATTTGCAGAAGAGGCAGAGTCCACTGGGAAAGTAACTCTCATTTCTAAGTCAAATGCAATGAAACGAAGCGCTAAAGAGAAAGAAGGAGAGTTGAAGTCCATCGAGGAGGCAATAGACAAGAAACTTAAAGCTCTAAAAAGCTAGTTCTTGTATGATGAAATAGCTATTTCACACACTAATGGCAAAAACCAAGGGACTTTGTTGAAAAAGTGTACTGTTGAAAATTGTTTTGAGAACTGAGGTACTTGCTTTCTGGTAGAAATTTAGTATACTGCTATAGTTTGGTTGTGTCGCTGTAAGTTGAAAACTAATCAGCTGAAACTGAATTTTTTTAAATTCATTGTTTTCATAGTTATGACAGTTATTTCTTCTCAGACCACGAAGAATCTCACTGTTACCCGGGGTCTGGAAAATGAAAAACATGGTCTGGAAAAAGTCTCGAATTCTGTCCACAAAAAAGTGTACGAACCCTGTGCGTACCCATACTTCAACTATTGCTTGTTATAACTCGCCTTCCCCCCCCCCCACCAATGCAGCACCACAGTTTCTTAAGAAACTTACCCCCTTCATTCTATTGTTGCTTTAGGTGGTTTACAACGGACCACTTCCAACCGCCCCACAGCATCAACCAGACCTCAGCTTCAGTGCAGACGGCCACTACATCGCTGACCCGACGGAGCTGCTTTCTGGCCACCTCCATGACAGTGCACTCCCGTCACAGGCAGATGTTCAGAACCAACCTAAGCCCACATGTAATGCCACGGAATCTTCACAACTTGTTCGCTTGCTGGTATCAGACAGCACCTCTGGCAGACAAGTGTCGATGGGGTCTTCCGGTGAACTATCGGTGCAGCTGGGTGTTGACACTGGTCAGGGGCCATCAGCGCAAATACAGGTATACTGTCTGGAAAATAAAAAAAAATGGTCTGGAAAAAGTCTCGAATTCTGTCCACAAAAAAGTGTACGAACCATGTGCGTACCCATACTTCAACTATTGCTTGTTATAACTCGCCTCCCCCCCACCAATGCAGCACCACAGTTTCTTAAGAAACTGCCCCTTCATTCTATTGTTGCTTTAGGTGGCTTACAACGGACCACTTCCAACCGCCCCGCAGCATCAACCAGACCTCAGCTTCAGTGCAGACGGCCACTACATCGCTGACCCGACGGAGCTGCTTTCTGGCCACCTCCATGACAGTGCTCTCCAATCACAGGCAGATGTTCAGAACCAACCTAAGCCCACATGTAATGCCACGGAATCTTCACAACCTGTTCGCTTGCTGGTATCAGACAGCACCTCTGGCAGACAAGTGTCGATGGGGTCTTCCGGCGCACTATCGGTGCAGCTGGGTGTTGACACTGGTCAGGGGCCATCAGCGCAAATACAGGTATACTGTCTTGAAAATAAAAAAAATGGTCTGGAAAAAGTCTCGAATTCTGTCCACAAAAAAGTGTACGAACCATGTGCGTACCCATACTTCAACTATTGCTTGTTATAACTCGCCTCCCCCCCCCCCCCC